CTGGATTATTGCTAAAAGCGGCGTAAAACCATATTCACTCACTCACTCACTCACTCACTCACTCCAAAACTATCGTTTGAGTGTGCTGTGAAATTTCGTTGATCCCTACGGTGTCGTCCGGATTAACGAATATATGGATTAAAGAATCATTGGGTCAAAGGGTTGTTTGTTTGTTGATTAGCATCGCACTGAGAAATATTCCAAGTATGTGTGATAATTGAGTCTGGACCAGACAATCAGGGATTGACATTATGGTGCATCAACCAAGTCAACGAGTCTGACCACCCGATCTAGTTAGTCGCCCCTTACGACAAGTATGGAATGCTGAAGATCAATTCTAACCCGGATCTTACGGGGATGTTAAGAACAGAATCGTTCGGAAAGCAGGATTTTTCGGACTATCGGGGTCCCGACTAACGAGTTCCTTCTGTTAAAATGAATCGCGTTGTCTACACTGTTAGACCTGAAAAGTCTTCTCTAAGATACTCATATTTTTCTGTAGTTTCGAGATTCAGCAAGTTCCTCTGTGTTCAATATCTGAATCCATACAAAAAACATCAATAACAACGCCATTCCAAGCACAACATCTGAATTCCCATTCACTCGTGAATTTCCTTCATAAAGTACAGGACCCGTGAAGATCCGGGTTAGAATAGGTCTTCAGCAATCCATGCTTGCCGTAAAAGGCGACTATTCTTGTCGTAAAAGGCGACTAACGGGATCGGGTGGTCAGGCTCGCTGACTTGGTTGATACATGTCATCGATCCCAATAGCGTGGATCGATGCTCATGATGTCAATCACTGGATTGTCTGGTCCAGACTCGATTATTTTACAGACCGCCGTCATATAGCTGGAATATTGCTGAGTGCGGCGTTAAACAACAAAACAAACATGAAGTACAGACACACAACAGTCACCGGAAACATATTCGCATCAAGCAGTCACTAGCTGTTTTATGCAGACCGTGTGGGTGGCGGGTGCTGCCGGTGGGGGCGGGGCATACGTGCCATTTTCGCGGGCGCCTGGTGATGTCGTTCGCTTTCATGGAATGTTTTGCGTTTTGTGAGCGACGGAGTCTGTTGAGATGGATAGTTGGGGTGGTTGTTCTCAAGTGCTGACGTTTTACATTTCCAAACAATGCCGAAACCATGATCTCTGACTCCTATAGGAATATGTACACAGGGTGGTTATTTATATGCTCGAACTATTTCTATCACTTCTCTGTAAATGCAGCATGTTATAGTTCTGCCACAACACATAATTACTATACAATGAGACCCTTCACCGTGTAGGTGTGTGTGATGTGTGAGGGATGCCTCGGCGCGGTCATGTGGTCCCCCCCCCCCCCCCCCCCCTGCTTGATTTAATGCTGCGGGGCCACAACTAGTAATTACCGTCAGTAAGGTTGACGATCGCGCCTTTGTCCTCCTCTATCCCGGGAATGCTCACAACTGAATTATAATGTACGCTTGGTCTGTCAAAACTGGAAGACGACAAAAAGTTAGTGTCCCGACATTTCACTTTATGGTGTCACATGTCCAATAACTGCAAGGACTCTTCCTAACGGTTAGCCATATTTCTGTTTGTTTGTTTGTTTGTTTGTTGTTTAACGCTGCAATCAGCAATAATCCGGCGGTCTATAAATAATCGCGTCTGGACTGACATCATGAGCATCGATATACGCAATATTGGGATCGATGACATGCACCAAACAAGTCAGCGAGCCTGACCACCCGATCCCGTTAGTCGCCTCTTACGACAAACATAGTCGCCTCTGACGGCAAGAATGGGTTGCTGAAAACCTATTCTCTACCCGGGTCTAACCATTTTGTATGATGGTTGAATCACATCTAAATGATCTTGTCCAGTCAGTCAGTGATCGTCATTGGACATGTCTATTGCCCTTCAGGTGTACATTTCACTGTTTGTGAGTGAGTGAGTGAGTATGGTTTTACGCCGCTTTTAGCAATATTCCAGCAATATCATGGCGGGGGACCACAGAAATGGGCTTCACACATTGTACCCATGTCGGGAATCAACCCGGGTCTTTGGCTTGACGAGTGAACGCTATAACCACTAGGCTACCCGACCGCCCCACTGTTTGTGTGTGTATGCTGCACGTGCGTTCCATGCACTCTGTGAAAGTGACTGCGATTTAAGAATGTAGTGAGTGAATGTTGTTTTACGCAGATAACTTATCCCAGGTATATCACGGCGGTATGTAGATAATCGAGCCGGTCAAGTCAAACCAGTGGTTGATAGCATGAGCAACGTATCACACCGTCGGACAAAATGACACAATCTCAGCAAAGTGACAGGGGTTGACCAGCCCATCTCCATCATCTCTGGGTTTCAGTTGGAAACAGTAACTGTACAGCACAGTCCTGCAGTACAGCCGTACAGTACCTAACCGGTGAATATTGCAGGACGCCTCATATTTTCGGGAACACCTGGTGTCATCGCTGTTTGATAGTGATTCAAAACACATGCTTATGATGTACAGTAAACTACGGTTATAACGAACGCGCTTATAACGAACTGACGGATATAACGAACTTACTTTTTGGTCCCGACTATTTGCTGTAGTTATGCTGTATATATGCTTATAACGAACTACGGTTAAAACGAACTAAAATTAGTACCCTTTTAGTGCGTTATAACCGTAGTTTACTGTAGTGGGAATCGTACATCGGACACTGCTGTCAGCAAAGAGTTCTTATAAACTGAAAAGGATTTTGTCGCGTTTATTTCGGCGGAGGTACCTTTCTGTCACAGAATGACATTTTAATCTGCTGTTAAACTCCCGGGTAAGCACTGGTCACCACAGTGGCCAAATTGATCGGATGATCAGGCTCGTTGGTGTGGTCGATGCCCATCCCGATGCTCATAATATCAATCACTGAGTCCCAGGTCAGATTAGCCGTCATATAGCTCGTGTCGAGTTGGACGTTAAAACAAATAAATAGTACAATAGGTATGACGTGAGGTGAAATGATGTTTAATATTAACGTCGCTTTGATGCGTGCGTGCGTGCGTGCGTGCGTGCGTGCGGGCGTGCGGGCGTGCGTGCGTGTGTGTGTGTGTGTGTGTGTGCTTGTACTAGTAGTAGTCCGGACTGATGCCGATTTTATAGTGCTAGCCCATGGGCAACTGAGATACAAAGCCGCAGTGTAACTTGAATACCCCACTCAGACACAGTATACTTACTGACTCCGAGCCGACCAGTCCTTGTTTTAGCCCCTTAATGCCGAGCGCCAGACAGAGTAACAACAAGTACCATCTTTTAACGTCTTTTTGTATGACGCGACCGGAGATCGAACCCGCTCCGCTCTCCGGGCGAACGCTCTACCACTAGACCACGGACAATAGGTATGAGGTATTAGGGGTCTAATCTGCTCTGGAATTCACATATGCATGGAAAAACAGATGAACACTGCTTATTTCACTCGCCCATTTTGAGTCACGAAGCTCAATAGGGCTGACATGTCTCCAACGTGTAATTACAGCCAATTGTACGACGTTTGAAACTGCAGCGTCACGTCACGGACCACCTGGGCCCACGTCAGTCCAAATGAGGACATCCATATCTCACCGGCATGAGTGTGCAGTATTTGTTCAGCCTTTAGAATGTGATATCCTGGGATGTAATATGTTTGGTTTTTTTGTTTGTTTGTTGTTAAACGCCGAACTCAGCTATATGACGGCGGTCTGTAAATAATCGAGTCTTGACCAGACATTCCAGTGATTGACATCATGAGCATCGATCCACGCAATTGGGATACGATGACATGCATCATCTAAGTCAGAGAGCCCGTCTACTCGATCCCATTAGTCTTTTTTTACGACAAGCATAGTCGCTTGTTACGGCAAGCATGGGTTGCTGAAGACCTATTCTACCCAAGATCTTCACGGGTCTTGTAATATGTAAATACTGAGACACTTCATCAGATTAGGGGCAGGGTGGCCCAGTCATCTAAGGCGCTGCAATTCACTGACTTTGTTTCTAGGTTTATAAGCACCATAACATGCTAGTAAACGTCTGAGTACTGCATCACTTCGGGCTTTCCGCCCATATTAAGCTGACACGCCGTGATATAGCTGGAATACTGTTAAACCCAACTCACTCACTCACTCACTCACTCATCAGATTAGTGGCTGTTCAATGACTGTTAAAAGAGTATAAGGTTAATAGGTGTATGTTAACTGAACATATTTCTTACCCAATACGGTGCCCGTCGACCCAAAGGTATTTGTCCTTCTTAGCTGAAGTTTTGGTGGGCTTGACTCCTGAGAGGTCTAGAGCTTCGGCAGCAAATGGGTACCCGGTAGGTACCTATTAACCTTCCAGCGCGTCAAATGCAGCTTGGGTTGTATACTTCCCAAGGAGCTAAGAATGAAGATCGAGTGCATACTGATCCATTGACCAGGGTTACAATGTTAGAGCTTTTAGCATGCTTATGAGTGGATTTGTCGCTCTACAAATTCACATATTTATTCTAATAATGTTTGCTACCGGTAGGGCAAGACATGCTTGATAGTACCCTTTTCGTGAACACCAGGGTCCACTTGCACAAAGCGATCTTAGTGCTAAGACTATTGTAAGTCTATGTTAAAGTATGGGAGTTATGATCATCTTAGCGCTAAGATCGCTTTGTGCAAGTGGGCCCTGGTGTCATCATTGATTTCCCGTGATCCATGCACATAACGTGCACCGCTAGGTTGCGTCTAGCCCAATGGACTGGTAATTCTCTGGCACTGGCGTTGTATATTTGTTTTGATTGCGTCAAACAACAAACAAACCAGACAAACATCAATAGTATTTATTGTGGCAATAATTGTGTTTTTATTTGATGAAAAGAAGTCCCCCAGTGACTACAAGCTGAATGTCCTTAAAATTTTGTTGTGAAAAATTAACTGATCGGTTCCTGTCTTCAGAGAAGAGAATTGCAGGAACTATTCAACCTTTAACTAACATCCCACTTATTTTATATATTTCCAGCCTATTCGCCATCAACGCACAAGGTGAGCTCCGAATATCGGCCAATCAAGACAACCTGACGGAAAACCAATACGACGTGGTTGTCATAGTAACGGACAATGGCGTTCCATCCCGTCAGTCCTCAGCGGTAGTAAAGGTCAAGTTCCCTCCCCTGAATCCGACAATTGGCAACGTGACCATGCAGGAAGCCGGGAGCGACGTCGTCTCCATCTGCCTCGGCGTTGTCGCCGCCACTCTCCTCATCATCGTCATCATCCTCACGGTATACATAGTTAGACGGTAAGTAAGCAAAAATATCAATTTTAATTGTAAATCCGAGTCGTTTCATCTCCAGCGTGGCTCTTCCAAAATAGTGCAGGGTTAACTCACATAATCACTCCTGCAAAATAAATATACACAACACTCAAAAGAAGTTAAAGAACTTCCGATATTACTATAGTTAATCTGTCATGGTAATAATAATAATAATAATAATAATAAAAGTGTACAAGATAGTAGTAGTAGTAGTAGTAGTAGTAGTAGTAGTAGTAGTAGTAGTAGTAGTAGTAGAAGTAGTAGTAGTAGTAGTAGTAGTACCATTGGTGTTTTATGTTTTAAACACCAGTTATTACTATTATTTTTATTATTATTATAATTATTATTATTATTATTGTTGTTGTTGTTGTTGTTAATAATTGTATTATTAGTATTAGTAGTATTAGGAGTAGTTGTAGTAGTAGTACTAGTAGTAGTAGTAGTAGTAGTAGTAGTATTTTCTTGTACACTTTAGTTAAGATTTTTTTTCTTTTCTTTTTTCTTTTTTCTTCAACGTGTCAGTCATCTTGTTCACAGACACCCTGTTCTACATCATCACTACTAATATTCCAGCCTTTCTCTGTTCAGAAGACTCCAGAGCACGGAGCAGCTGGACAAGGCCAAGAACCGCAGCTCCCTCGACCCACGTGGTATCATGTTCAAGAAGCACCCTGGCTCCAGGGCCCCGTCGCGTGTAGCCATCGACTTCTCCAACGAGGAATCGACAGATGGAGGCACGACACTGGCAGAGAACCCCTTCACCCTGGATGGCAACAGTAACTATGGCTACATCCATAGCGACGAGTCCGAGAATGACCGAGACGTGGACGAGATTCAGATCGAGACTGCTGTTATTCCTTACAGGAATCCGGGCAAATTCCCTTCTAATGCCGCCGTCTTTCCTAATATGGAAGATGAGGATGGGCTACCTATTAACGAGCTGAGTCATTCGTATCAGAACAGCTCCCTCAGCACGTTCAAGGATTCCAATGACAGCCTCCATAGTGATAGCACAAGCAGTAAGAAGGGACTTATGAAAAGTATGAACGGCATCGGGACAAAGTCCCTTCCTAATAAAAAGTTGTCGTGGGCGGGGAATGGTGAGATGCCTTCAAATAAATCACTGGTAAGTAACGGTTTTAGTAGGGGCTGACCAATTGATATTCCCTTTGGGTGTGGTTGGATGATGGCTGTATTGTTTTTTAAACATTAATCTGTTGCTAAAAATGTTTGAAAAATACTATTATAACACATCGTCCGCAGGACATGCTGGAGAAATAACTTGACTCCTTTCCGGGGTAGAATAGGTGTTCAGCAACCCATGCTCGTCGTAAGAGGCGACTAATGGGATCGGGTGGTCAGGCTCGCTGACTTGTTGATGCATGTCATCGATCCCAATTGCGTGGATCGATGCTCATGATGTCAACCACTGGATTGTCTGGTCCAGACTCGATTCGTTACAGACCACCGTTATAATATAGCTGGAATATTGCTGAGTGCGGCGTTAAACACCAAACAAACAAATAAATATCTAAAACTTCGTAAGAATGTGAGTTAACCGATCAATTGCATTATTTTTTTAATAAATACGGACTGTTGTTGCAGTGTTTTTACCTTAGGAGTAGTGTTCAGTAAATACACTATTATTAACACTTGCTTTTCTATTTACAGAATAGCCTAGATCACGACCCGGGTATTTCGCCGATTGACGAGAAACCAGAAATAACTGTGTATTTCTGAAGAATGGTGTATTATTGTGTATAACATTGACCTTCGTCAGGCACTCTCTGACATGTGCACGTGCAATTCACGAGTGCGAGCACAAAGCTGATTCGCCGATAACACGTGATACTAACACCACCGTCACCCAGCTGATTTCCTGACCAACAATTGACAGTATTGGTGCATTGGTGCACAAGACAACCAGATGATATTTTTATGGCAATACGCTAGTATTGTTATAGGCTTAGAGAATGCCAAGGGGAGACAAGGAGATTGAACAATTAACGTGACCTTGTTTGTGTCTTCTTTCAAGTGCTATTTCTAATGCTACAGTGAACAGTGCAATGCTTGCATCAACTCATAGGTAAATGCTGATGGTCAATTATGTATTGACTTCTGATTTGTCTGATTTGGTAGCTTGCTTGAAGCGGAGAGATGTCAAGACAGCTGATTGGTTCTTGTAAAGAGCTGATTGGCTCTCTAACTGGCCTGCTGAAATATGTGTGTCAAGGACAGCTGAAAGGAACATGTGGTTCGTTTACAGGAAAACGGCTTCGTTCGTCTTCAGGACATCTAATTGATTCGTTTAGGAATACAGCTGCTTGGTTCGTCTACAGGACAGTTGATTTGCCCTTTTTGAGGACATCTGATTGGTTGGTTTCAAGGAATACAGCTGATTGGTTAGTTTTCTGGACAGCTGATTGGTTCGTGTAACTAAGGGTTAATGTAAATATGCATGTGAGTGACAGAATGGTCATACTGAGAAACTCTTCAACCGTGGAAGCTCTTACCGGAAGGTTTTCAGTAGCCGTACGTTGTCCTCATGGCCCATGCAACATGGACACAACGAGATTGCTGGAATTTGAGTGTATGCGCCATAACGTCAAGTGTTGTATCAAGCAGATGCAGACATGGAACAAAAATTCCTCTAATATCATCATTAATACTACAGACTAGATTATTCCTTTAAGATGTAAATTTGATGATGGCTATTTCAACAGAACTGAATATATAACTCACACAAACAATTCCTGTGGATTGACAGTGCCATCGTCAGATTGAGTGAGTATTGTTTTACGCCGCTTTTAGCACTATTCAAGCAACATCACGGCGGGGTACACCAGAAATGGCTTTCTCTTGTGGTCAATCGAACCCAGACCTTCGGCGTGACGAGCTAATCATTCGACAACCCACAGACACATTCATTTCTAAAGTGTGTCAATGAAAGGAGAGCTCGGCTCGAGATGATTGGCAGCCCTTGGAAGTAATTCAATGTCCATTTAGAATCCCTGCTAACTCATTTATTTTTTTGTACGTCAATCGAACATTTTTTTCCCCTACATACGCAGGTCTGACGTCTTCCATGCACAAAGGGTAAAACTTACAACGTCTGGGCCTAGACTGGACATGGTCACCAGATCAGAGCATGCCCCCTTTAAATATGATCCGCATTGAACAAGAATTACTTCATAACAAATGTGCCTTAATCAGAATGAAGCATTCGCGTCTATCTTGCCCCATGTGTGTCATTCATGTCAGCATAATCCATGTAATATGGCGCCCCCTGTCTGAAATGTTTAATATATTCGTGGAGCGTCACGTGCACGCTTTGTACATTGCAAACATAATGTCATTAACCAAGAATGTGATGATATTCTGTATGATAAATACATGGCACTAATCAAAATCCCTCATTGGATCCTTTACACTAAGATATCTTAGTGCGGCTGTTAACGTGTTAATACAAAGACCACTTTGTCTTGACACCCCACATCATATTCAAGACAGAAATAAATGTCCAATTTTCGTTCAACAAAATAATGAACATTAATGTATTTACAAAGTTACAAAAATCCTGAACTGAACATTTTATTAAGTTAATCATTTGTATTGGCGATTTACGAAATTGATTCAAATATACTAAAATTAAGACAATTTACAATAAAGATTACAAAATATTATGGTTACAAATTATTGGAAGAGCGCATACAGTTCGCAATCGGTTGATAATAAACTGTATAAATCTATTAACATCAGTGGGTTGTATGTCCCGCTTAACATTCATTCCTCTCTTTCCATACTCTTTCAACATGTATATATATTTCTAACACCTGTTACGTTTATATGATCTGACCTAGTATTACATTGATATGATCATTTATACGAGTATAAGCATTGTGATTCCCCCAAATGATACTCCAAATGTGATTTCACGAGAAGATATTTCTTGAGAAATAAAGTCTTTCCAGAACGACGCATCTTTGTCATCCTTAGAGCTCAACAGTACCGCCAGTTGATGCTGATCGTGAACCAGGGTCGTCTAGTCAGTCCACAAGTCGACGCTGGATTCCCCTTCGCTTGCCCTGCCCCACACTGAAGCACATGTACCACATGTGGTGTCTCCTTGGGCAAGTGACTTTGTTCGAAATGTGCCTCTGTCACTCAACAGTGAACTGTAGAATCTATATATTTTGTATGTATATATTTTCTAGGGTCCACAAAGGGACATTAGCTGTCGCTGCGAGTGTCTTTTTGGTGTCGGACCGGGAAGCAGAATTTATGTAATGTATAAATTCTTGGACGCAGAATGTCCGGTCATGACCGAAAGGCAGAATCTTGAAGGGAGGTCACCATTCAAATTGCAGAGTGTTGTAAAATATGTACACAGACTTCAATTTGCGAACGTTCAACAAAGTGTGTATTTTATAACATCGTTAAAAAATATTTTAACTCATCACAAAGAAACTATGGACAGATTGACATCTTTTAAAATTCAGGGACCGCAGTCAGCAATATTCAAGCTGTATGGCGGTGGTCTGTAAATAAGTCTAGACCAGACCATTCAATGATTGATATCATGAGTATCGATCTACGCAACTGGGATACGATGACATGCATCGACCAAGTCAGCGAGCCTGATCATCCGATCCCTTCAGTCGCCTTTTACGACAAGCATGGGTTACTAAGTATTCTACCCCGGATCTTCACGGGTCACAATCTGACGAGGTACACTTTTTTATATACTTCAGTGTGAACGACTGAGTGTTCTGATGTTGAGAAACGGCGATATTTCCATTTCAGTGAACTACACACTTGGTATTTCACTACAGTGAAGATAATACTTGATATTTTAACTGGCAGAACAATTGTTTTGTTATTAACTTCCATTTTTTTTTCACTCGTCGAATGAGTCTATTCGTTTCGCACAGCGTCATTCTTGTTACCTGACCATCGGGTATTCTTTCCCTTCCAAATCGGTCTCGTAGATTTCAAGAGTAATTTTTGTTTAAGTTGTATATGATCATATCCAAATGTATGATATAGAACTTTATCATCTTATGGGTAGGTTTCTCGGCAGAATAAAGCCAAAGGATAAAAGCGATATCCGTTGGGATCATATGCGAATAGAGATGAAAATCAGTGTCTAACTGTGACGTAGCTAAGTCATTTTACAAGTTTTGGCAACTTTGGAGATATAGATAGCGATCAATTTACCGAGGACAATAGCCTAGCAGGTCATTTTCTATACCTGTGCTTGTAGACCTCTGCGGCTTGGAACCTTTTCCCCACATTAAAACAGTTGTATTTGGTCGTAATACGTCCGAATTGATACCTTGTTTTCGTTTTGTCGCTGTGTGTACCCCTGACTGCACTTCGTAACGTTATGACAGGACAGAGTAGCTTCCCTTTAATAAAGGGCAGTTACTCTAGCGGACAGCGGATGGATTGTCGCGAAAGGCAAGTAGAAACAACTTGTGTAGGCAATTCTTGTTTTGCCTTTCATAGTAACGCCACTGTATAAGAAACAGGTTTCAGATGGAACTATATTGACTGTTGTAAATCTCCGACTGACACGTCGCTTACATTCTGACGTAATATATATTAATGCGCACATTCCAGGAAAACAATGTTTAGGTAATATTTGTGAGAGATGGGAAGAGATTTTTCGAGCACAGAATTAAAGAATGACATAATATGATAAAGAGATTATCACGGTTGTGTGTTTGGGGATGGTAAATATACAGTATTAGGAATAACACTATGTATTCCTAATACAGAATACTTACAATCCCCAAACACACTCTCGTGTATTCCTAAAGCAGAATATTTACCATCCCCAAACACACTCTCGTGATAACCTCTATGCATTGACATCAACATTGTTTTGTTACTATTGTTTATATGTTTTAAGATTTTACCAACTGCTTTTTTCAATCGGACTTACAAGGGGTTGTGAAAGGTCCTAGCGTGTTAGGATGGGATAGTTTACGTTTTAAGGTTTTACATTAAAGAAATAATTCAATTTTACGGTAATAACTACACAAAAAGTACATAAGAATAGGATTTCATGTGTCTCAATAGGAAATTCCATGCGTCTCGTGAAATATCACGTTTCTCTCATCTCGTGACTTCCAAACATGATCTTTACTCGACACACTGTATCCTCGGTGCTAAGATCGCGTCCCTGAACAGCCCTGTTAATTCTTCGTCGGTAACTAGTAGAGAATCTTGCTCAACTACATTCGTGACCCAACTCGTGTTATTCCGGGACAAGCCGAATAGCGACTCGTGCCCCTCTCGTGGCCATTTTTGCGACCGGGTTCCGTCTTAGCGCAGACGGGCATACCTAAAACAATTGTCAACTCGTTGCGTAATGGTTCACATTTATTTCCCCATATATTATATATATTTCAGATGCAATTTAAAGCACATCGAGACATGTGGAATTATACAGTATGATTGAAGACATTTAACTGTGTCTTGGGTATATTTTTAGATGCAAGACATATGTAAAATAAAAAATATTTCTGAGGGATTCTTTGACGAAGAACTTGAAATCATACGCGCATTCTGATTGGTTTGTCGTATTTTCGCACATTACATTCATCGATAGAGGGACGGGTCTTCTTGCAGGTTACGGAAAAGGGCGAGTGGTGACGAATGGTAGAGAATCTTGCTCAACTATTCTGTACAATGACATGACGTCGTCTGTTTGTGGCGAAGGTAGTATTATGACGTCATGTTACGACAACGTCATAATGGATGTCGCTGGGGTAACTTGCCACACACACTCGTCTCACGTCTCTGGGAAATGTTTCGGACTAGACTTGGTGTGTTTTTTCCATCTGTTTTGTATTTATATCCTCCAATGATATCGCATACTCATCCACAATGCACATAAACAGCGCTCGGGAGAAGAGGGTCCACTGGGATGAGAGTATCACCGACAACACAGATAGGTAAGTTCAAAGCCCAAGTACCAGGGACGTAGCTAAGGGAAATTAAAATTTACTTATTTTTCTTAAATTAAAATTAACTTATTTTTCTTAAACACTCATACCGCTTATAAAACACAAACACTAGCAGGCCAGTGTAACATATCTAAAACTGAGATTTCACGAAATATCCAAACCATGTTCTGTACATACAGTATTCGACGTAATAAGCGCCCCGCTCTAATAAGCGCCCACGGCGATATTTGCTAATATATTGGTACGTGAACAATCCCAATTAGTACCCCTTCCGATTGATCAATATATACAAGACTTATTCATTCGCGTATAATACGCACTCCTGTGTTATATGCACCATTAATTATGGGCAATTAAATTCTGGAAAAATATATATCTGCCGTACATACTAGTATACATTTCCGGCTGTAAGCATAAACCACTAAATTTATCTTTCAACTCTGTTTTTTTCACCAAAAAAATATTTTAATAAGAGCCCCCTATTTCTAATTTTGAGAGCGCCCTGGGCGCTTATTACGTCGAATACGGTAACTCATTTCAAGTATAAAACAGTTTGATTATTGTGATCAATCCCAGATATCCTCACAAAATATAAATTGTCAGTGCAAGAGAATAACCACTGGACTATCCACCGAGACCGATTCCATTTGGCGTAAAGGGTAAAATAGCTGTGAAAATTATTTGAATGGACCCCTGAAAATCAGTGATGACACCAGGTGTTCGCGAAAAGGGTAAAAGAAATGTAACAATTAAACAACAACATCGAACTCATCAACGACAGTTTTGGCACTAGTAGGTGGGTCAACCTGTAAATTAATTTAAAAAACTATAACAAACCACGGATTTTTTGCAATTATTTTATTTTATTTTTGTGACGATTTCAAAGTGTAGGAGCTTGTTATATTGTGCTAGCTAGGCCACTGAGTACCGCCTGGGGGGATGTCGCGTCCAACATTCGTTATTTATTTCGGAGAGGCGTTTTGCATCAAATCTGTTTTAAATGTCTCTTTTTTTCACCTAGACGTTTGACAAGACCTTTATTCAATGTAGGTGTTTATTTTGCTATATACATTAGTTAGCCCGGTGATTATCGGTGGCAGCTAGGCGATTAATCTCGGTAAGCGTTTTTTTTCAAGTTTGTTTGTTGTTTAACGCCGCACTCAGCAATATTCCAGCTATATGACGGCGGTCTGTAATTAATCGAGTCTGGACCAGACAATCCAGTCATTGACTTCATGAGCATCGATCCACGCATTTGGGATACGATGACATGCATCAGCCAAGTCAGCGAGCCTGACCACCCGATCCCGTTAGTCGTCTCTTACGACAAGCATAGGCGCCTCTGTTTATTCAAGTATTTACTGTACACTCAAACATCTCCCCAAACGTAATTCTGAACCCTATTTTGCCTACACCTTTAACAAAGTATAACTTTTGTAGAAGCCACCCACCCAACAGCCCACCCGATCCGCCTGAGAGGAAGAAACGGAGGTCAAGGCCGACAGTATTAAAAGATTTTCAAACGGCCAAAGAAAAAGTTGTTGAACTTATTTACGAAACCAGATGTTTACAACGTCAATGTTACCAGCTGACTGCAGACTTTTCCAAACTTGAAGACGATTTCACTATAATACAAAAAGCTTCTTCTCAGATAAAAGAACTCCTCAGAAAGGGCGAGCCACCATTCACACGCAAGTCGCTGTTTAATGTGGACGGAGTTATCTCCCGTGTATTGTACCCGGGAGAGAAGCTCGTGCTCGATGTTGCGGAACCTCTCGTGGCCGATAGGGGTAGACCACATCAGGAAATACTTTATTACTGAAAGTCACTTCTCACAGAGACCTCAGAAAATAAACTTGTCATAATCTATCATTGGGTTTGTTATAACCAACGAAGTATTTTCTATAGAGGTAAGCACGTAGGCCTACAGAGCCCGGGGAGTCAGATCCCCGTACCAGGAAAAACATCTGATACATTTTACCGTATTCCCTGTAAAAAACGCGGGTTCGAAGCAACGTCCAACACCATGACCCGTGTTTTGCAACTTACATTCCGGATACAGTACCACTAATTACAGAGTTGTTACCTGACACAAGCTGTTTTTTGCATGTATGATATTAAGTTTGTATTTCTTTGGTTAACACTGCACACATAGTATTTATGTTGCAATTTCACAATACAAAGTGGGGTGAGGTGAAATTGGGTTTTACATCATGTCCAAGATTACTGCACTTATATAGCGACGTGCATGCAAAGGTGTGTGTGTGGCTGCTTCCCGACTGATGCTGATTGATAGTGCCAGCCCACTGAGATACCATGCCGCAGTTTAACATGAATACCCCACTCCCGACACAGTATACTGACTCCGAGCCAACCAGTCCTTGTTTTAGCCTCTTAATGCCGAGCGCCAGACAGGGTAACAACAAGTACCATCTTTTAACGTCTTGTATGGCACAGCCGATGATCGAACCCCGGACCTTCCACTCTCCGGGCGGACGCTCTACCACTAGACCACAGAGGCGGTCTCACAATACTATGTCAACATTCGCTCTCTATCTTCAAGTCTATTCTGTATTAGGACATACAATTTTATTGTACGCAAATGTATTAGAGCCTGTAGCTTATGTAGCAACTGTAGTTGAAATATTAAACTCCGGGTCTCTAATTACCACCACGGCTCAATTACACACTGGATTTGGAAGCTTGTTCAAAGAATAAGTGCTGGGGTGCTTATTAGAGGGAATGCGGTACCTTTGAGGAAATACCAAAGTGTAGTAAACCTTGACCATCAATAGCAATTGCCAAGAAAGTCAGCTTCCTTGACATTTTTTCCTCTACACACCTAAATCCTTCTCATCAAAAATAAAACACACGAGCTAAAAAATAATGTAATTATTTAGTTTATTATCAATGTCCATCCCCAGATCCAACAATGTTGATGAGAAAAGATCCACACATCTAAACCTGTGCTGGCCCTGCTATATACTGTCAGTGTACATTGTAGATAGATGACACAAAATAAATAGCAACAAATTGTATGTAAAGTGAAACATGAAAGTAAAACCTCAAAAATGTCTGTTAGGTCTGTATAAATAGCAAAGTTAGTAGGTATGTATAGATGATAATATATATTGGTTTTGTAAGAAATGCGAACCTCATCAAAACGCATTTTGGGAATAGTCAATAACTCCTCGGCCAGATCAAAACAAACCTGTTGTAAATGCTCTACTGTAATTAAACTGATGAAGAAAGAGACAGTTATATATGTATGTTCACACCACTATAGTCTGGAAGGTAATTTAAGGTACTGACGTTTACTACAATATCTGAAAAACTATCGGACCTACTCCAGTCAAAGTTGATATGAGATTATAAAACAGTCATACATAACTGGATATACATTTAAAGACAATCGGTGCATGAATAAAAAATGTCTATTTAGCTATCACTATATTTCATCAACAACCAGACCTGTTCGTCACAGGTGGAACGAGCATTCATTGAAACAGCCATCTGCATAACGCTACCCCTGCGTCACAGGGCCATATGACACAGTTGGACCAATCCACTCAACTCGAAAGGGTGCACGGGAATCACGCACGCACGAATACGGTGTTAGCATTAGGCTTCTCAACGTGCTTGATTCCCGTGCACCCTTTCGAGTTGAGTTGATTGGTTCAACCGTGTCATATGGCCCTGTGATTTTTTTACAGATTTTTTATTCATGCACCAATTGTCTTTAAATGTAATATCCAGTTATGTATGACTGTTTAATAATCTCATACCAACTTTGACTGGAGTAGGTCCGATAGTTTTTCAGATATTGTAGTAAACGTCGGTACCTTAAATCACCTTCCAGACTACAGTGGTGTGACTGATGGACAACTTGTCACAGTACAAACTACCCCTTTGTGAACAAAGTCAGATTTTCATTCTCATCTTGACAAGAATAGACATAGACATGTGTAAACAATTTTTTAAATGTTCAAAAGACAAACAACAGTAATATTTTTGTGTCCAGCAACTATCCAGGAAACAAATTGGACATGTAAAATAACAAAGAAACACCAGTAACTCGACTCTTGATGTAAAGAAAATACATATAGGCAGTCTTGTCAAACTATATGAGGCTTGAACACATATTTTGAATGCTCTAATCGCTAATCAAAGATGAAAAATCAGTCATTATCGGAAAAAACCCATTGAATTGTATTTTGGGGCAATTTACCAAATAAACTCCCTTTATTATGTTTGAAACAAAAACAGAAGTTGAGATGTCGATAATGTTGTTGGAAATCATATTTTTTAAAACACTGCATAGGATCTGCCCATTAGGGCTAGGATAACTCGGGTACTCGGGTCGGGTGGATGCTGAGAAGGACCCGGGTACCCACAGGACTACCCGGACCCGTGGTCAGTCACATGATATATTGTTTAAAGACAAACATTATCTAGAACTCTTTGGCTACAATACAAGTCACTAATGTTCACATTTCTTTCTGACTGTGCACCCATTCCTTCTGACTTTTCATACGGTTGAATAAAGATAAACCTTAAGTCAACTTCAGTGTATGCATGACCAGATTGTTTAATACATGTATCTAAATACGTTTTGCAAGTGCTGTGGTAAAAAAAATTCCCAATCAGACATTTTGTATCGCTTGAGACCTACAGTGGGTACCCTGGTAGGGTCAGGTAATAGGGGGGTGGGTACTCGGGAAGGGTCAGGTAATAGGGGGTAGGGTACCCGGGTAGGGTCAGATAATAGGGGGTAGGGTCAGGTAATAGGGGGTAGGGTACCCGGGTAGGGTCAGGTAATAGGGGGGTGGGTACTCTGGTAGGGTCAGGTAAGAGGGGGTAGGGTCAGGTAATAGGGGGATGGGTACCCGGTTAGGGTCAGGTAATAGGGGGTAGGGTACCTGGGTAGGGTCAGGTAATAAGGGGATGGGTACTCTGGTAGTAAATTTGGACTCGTCCCAGCCCTACTGCCCATAAGTAATTTTGATTTCTTGTAAGTACTGCTAAAAATCACTTCTGAGAGAGTGCTCATCAATCCCTGACATTGACTTCTTGCAGTGTTGGAAATAAGAGCCTGCCCGTAGATCTGTGGCAGGTACTTCTCGTGTCCGACCCGTAGTTTCAAACTTCTACGAGTCCTCATGGCCTGGAGTAACTTAACATGTGGATTTGTCATGTGTGGATTTAGTCACGGCCTGCTTCTAAAGTCCTGATGGCAGCCTGATATTTCTTTTTATTTCGAACACTGATTCGTTGGTTAAAAATATCGACTAAACTGCAAAATGTTCGTATGTACAATGGAGAAATGTGGTGAGTGAGTGAGTGAGTATGGTTTTACGCCGCTTTTAGCAATATTCCAGCAATATCATGGCGGGGGACACCAGAAATGGGCTTCACACATTGTACCCATGTCAGGAATCGAACCCGGTTCTTCGGCGTGACGAGCAAACGCTTTAACCACTAGGCTACCCGACCGCCCCCAAGAGAAATGTAGTGAATACCTTTGTGTACAGACCTGTCAAGTATGGACAATATCTGACAGATTCAAATCTCACTTTGAACACTGCCCTCAAGGATCAACTTATATTTCTTTACAAATTCACTTCTGGTTGTTTGTTGTTTAATGCCACACTGAGCAATATTCCAGCTATATCGAACTATGCAATCGGGATATGACGACAGGTATCAACCAAGTCAGAGAGCTCCACCACCCAAGTTCGTTTAGTGCATGTTTCTATGTCTAGAACTTCTATGTGTGTTGCATCATGCATGTCTGAAGGTTATGAAGCTTAACACTATCCCCAAATGCCAAAATCAAACTTCTGTATGCTTTCTTGAGTAATGACGAGGATGCTAAGCAAGAATACTTATCTTTCCTCACTGAGAACACACCACTTAACAGAACACACTGGTGTACAAGCAGTATACAGTAAAAACCTTAGCATCATGTTCAAATTAAATATACAGGTTCCAAAGATGCAAACAGTTTCTTATTGACTGTCTGATATAACAAACTTATTCACTTGCTATAAAACATAATGTGAAAATATTTCCTTAACATAACAACAAAACCACAAACAAAATAAAATGACAAATAAACAATCAGAAAATCACTTATACTGTATAATACAACTGGTCCACAAGCAACACTAACTGCACTGGGGTAAGAATAGGGTACACACAAGCAATTTAGCAAGTTTGTACCAATGTCCTATTATCAGTACTGAGGGTGTGCAGTATTATCGGTATATCCGTAAATTGAGGTTCATTCTCTCCATGATACGTATCACAATATCATTTTTTCATCCTTGATGTATCGGGTGATTTAAAATAGTGTTTTTTATAATGTGTTTAATGTTATATACACGCCAAATGCCTTCACTGCCCCCGGAGCATGCATCCGGGGCCCAAGTTGGCTGCATATTTATTGAGTAAACATTATGTTGTACCAGAATCTTGTTTTGTTCCATTTATGAACTTCAATTCATACCTTAATGTATCAGATTGCTTCTGAATTCAAAATTGAGAATTATACATTATAAATCGTGATACGTATCGCAATATGGCCTTGTGCATCACAAAATATTGTGAGTGATTCCAGTTATATCACAGCGTGTCAGCTTAATGTGGGAGGAAAGCCCGAAGTGATGCAGGTCTCAGACGTTTACCACTTCAGTGAAACCCACTAGCATGGGTATGGTGCTGACAGATCTAGAAACATAACCTGGGTGAACCAGGATTCGAACCCACAATCATAGGTTCCTGGCGTGTCCAAGGGACCCGTGCCCCCCACCCCCCACCCCCACCCCAAAATATTGTGCTGTACTTTAAACCTCCATACTCATCCCTTATCAGTACTGCAGTCATATATCACGGTGTAGATACTGAGAATGGACTTCTGACATCACCCCTATCGGAGAAATGAAACCAATTCACTCTTGGTTCTTCCATCCACACAGTTCGAAACCCGGATCAGAAGAACTGAGTCTGGAAATATGGATTACTTTGTTGCTGGGAATTAAACTCGGACAACAACCCGATGAGATTGTCTGCAGTGATCACCTGCCCATCTCCCCCACTCCCGTGGACACCAGCATGCACAGCTGCACCATGAACAATGCCACGATCTCCTGGCCCCGGAACCACAATCCGGTCACTGGTTCCATGGACAAGTCTCTGGTCAGTCACCCCTTGCAGGAGAACTCTCTCCGAAGCTCCCTGTACAATACCTCGATCAACAGCTGCTTGCATGCGAGCTCGTTCATTGGCTGCCATTACGATTCGCTGGCTGGCGGCTAGCCTTCCAGGTCTTCTATTAGGTTGCTCTTGGTACATGTTGCCAGGTATTTTGGGACGTATCGGCACATATTGAGTGGTCCGTACTGGCAAGTGTTCTGTGCTGCGTTCCGGTACATGTTCTGTGTTTTGTACAGGCACATGTTCTGTGGTGCTTAAAGGTATCTGTTCTATAGAACGTACAGACACATGAACAGATCTGATTGGAGTCACGTGATCAGAAGTGACAGGAGTCACGTGATCGTCTCTGATCCCAGGCAGCTGAGTCCTCATGCCCGAGGGATCAGCCCGAACATCTTGGTTGTCTCCGGCATAGTTCATCATATGGTACAATGTCTCCTCTGGCCGCACTACAGCGTCACTGTTCAAGAAGTCCTGTCCAGTCATGGTGACTGTGTGATTCTGCTGGACATGAGCTGGCCACTGGTTGGCCGGATAGGTCCACCTTTCCGCAGAAGAGTAAGCAGTGGATCTCCTATCCATTTGACCTGACATGAAGCCTCCATGAATGTCCGGAACCGACACAGGGACTGCTCCATCTTCCGGAGGAAACATGTTCCCCGATATGACCTTCACAGTGCCGTCTTTCGGTTTCATTGGCATTTCTTTCCCAGTCAACAAGCTAAAACCTCTACCTTCTTTACCTTTCTGAAGCAGGTCCTGATGAAGATCCAGCTTTGGCGTCTTCAGCACCTTCTCCTTGCCATCCTGTTTCTTCCCCCCACCTTCCCCTCTTCTCCCGGATCCGTGTCCCCTTCCCTGTGTAATGGTCAAATGTCGGAAGGCCATGTGATGCTGCAGACTGGACGCTTCCAGGAACCTCTGTCGACACTCCTTACATTCATGGGGAAACTTGTCCATGTGACTGGCCAGGATGTGATTGATCATGCCCATCACCCAGAAGAAGGGTTTGTCGCAGTGTTCACACTTGAGTATCGCGATGGACTTGAGACTTTCAGCTTGACCGTAGGTATGATCCTGGTCCCCATAACTGTGGTCCTTCTTCAGATGGAACCTCAGATCTGTGTTGTAGTCAAACTGCTTTTCACAAAGCGGGCATTTTGGCTGCATGATCTTCAGATGATCCTTGGCAATGTGTCTCAGCATGTTGTCCCGAGCCTGGAACCCCGACCCACAGTAGGGGCAATGCTGACACAGGGCATTACCATGGAAGTCTCTGGTATGCTTGTCCATCTCTTCATCAGTGTCAAACTTTACTTTACACATCTTACACGTTCTGTCCATCTGATGAACCTCGATGAGATGTTTAGTGATGTCCTTTTTCTTGTCCAGACGGAGGTCACACAGAGAGCAATGGATGCCCCGTGACCTTCTCACACCTCCATGACCTTTCTCACTGTGAGTTTTCCGAATGTGATTCTTCACATATGACTTCCGTGAAAACGTTGCCCCACAAATCTCACAACTGTGATCCATTTCTTTTTCATGGATGCCCTTGATGTGGCACTGGAGAGAAGACTCCCACTTAAATGTTGCCGGACAAAGATGGCAGAGGTATCTTTCACTTCCATGAGCTGCTTTGAGATGTCGATCGTACTTATTCTGGTTCACCCAGGTCTTATCGCAGAGAGTACATTTTATCTTTTGGACCGACTCTCCGATCAGCTTCTCAGTGTGGATGTCTCGCATGTGTTGGCCAAAACTTTCCCATCTGCCATAGAACCTGTCTTCAACGCACAAATTACACTTCAGCTTCATCTTGCACCGATTCTCTCTGACAAAGTCCATGTACTGGGGCTGATTTTTGTGTATGTTCCTTGTGTGATCAGCCAGGAGAAGCGGATCGGGGAACGACTTGGTGCAGAATTTACAACTGCTATGTATCTGAATTGGATCGGAGACGGGACCCCACAAGTCTGAGCCAGTCTCGGGGACTATCTTTATGCAGTAGCTCTCCAGCCGTTTGTACATAGCATCTATGCCTCTCTTGGGTAGTTTCTTTTTCTTTTTCTTCTGCTTCGGCTTGCGTTTAGTTGGGCTGTTTGGGCCGATCTCCCTCTTGGTCATTTCACTGTTTGTTTCCGTCACTGCCTCCAGCTTTTCAGCATCTATCAAGAATAATGTATACGTAACTATCGTGTGAGTAGGCAATAATACAGCTAGATATATCAGTCTGTGAGCTATCAGTCTGAACCAGTGGTGGATAGTATGAACCTTACACAGTGGAATCTGTCCAAATCGGACTCTGTCAAATTCGGATTTCAGTAAAACCAGACTTTTTCTCCGGTCCCCACATTTTCATAATAGATTATCATTACTCAAACTGACCAACAACTCTCTCATTCAGACTTTTTCCACTTTGGACTAAAATTATGGTCGCATCAAGCCATTTACTATTGAAAAGAAGTTGTCGAAATTGGACTGGACCAAACCGGACCAGACCGGATGTCCTCTCACTTTGAAGTAAGCGCAGTCATTGTCAGCTAATACGACAATGCTAATCCTGCATATAATCCTGTTGATCTTAACACTTTGTTGTCAGCTTAGTTAACTAGAATTTACCCACCTGTTAATGAGAAACTCCGCTTAATTAGATTTATTGTCATGAGTATGTCAATAAATAATGGTAAACAAAGCTTGTCATTATCAATTGCTTCCAGTTACTTGAACGGTTAATCAGAAGGCTTGGAGGAATTTCCAGCTTTTTACTTGAACAGACAAATGCGTAGACAGATAAGGAATATTCTTCTGTTTATAGATAATGTCCCATCTCAACCAAACATTGTTTGATCAACATGATAATTGAATTTTTGCCTCCTAACTGCACCTCTGTATGGCAGCCACTGGATCAAGGTGTTACTAGAGCATTCAAAGCACAGTCAGAGCTCCAGATAAGCTTTTGGTGTTGTGGGTATTTTACCCCTGCATTTTAAAATCATTGGGTATCAGTAATTCTATCTGGGTATTCATATTTCTGTTACCCACTAGTTTTTACACATGTGGGTATTAAAGTTAAATTTTTAAAAACACTATTCATCTAGTCCCTGCAAACTGGTGTCATGTGGGTTTGAGAGCTTTATAGGACCCAAAAATACCCCGATACTTCCACAAGAAAGTGTGATGGCAAATGATCATGATGTAACTGTCATTGTGGAGTTTGGCAAGGTTGACGGAATGCCCGTTTATAATTTCAAAATAAGTTGCTGATTTGCTAATCGAATACGCAGGGTTACTTCACAATATTTTGATGATACACACAAGTTTTATTTTTGTAGCGTACCTGTAATGTTCGTTGCATATTTGATACGCTTGGATTTTATTTTACTGCGTATTTCTGCATTTCTGATGCGTATTTTACCCAGATACGCAGCTTATCTGGAGCTCTGCACAGTATCATAAGCTACCATCGAAATCACTTGTGTCTCGAATGGCATTGGCGTAATCCGGAGCATGATGTTAAACAGTCCCAACCGAGTCCGAATTGGACCGATGTCACTGTAGTACTGATAAAAGGCTTAAAAAAATAAAAGAACTGGTTCTCAGGCAATGACTTTTGAAAATATAGAGCGGGTGGGCAGTATTTTTTTTTTTTGCTTGTTCAAACTAGTATGTAACCAAATAAACAGTTGTGTACCATCGACCTGAGAAAGGGCCTCCCTATATAAACAAACATACGAAAGACCTATTGCCGCCACTACAATAACACCAGATGCACAATAAAGCAGGGCGCATGTAAGGGGGAGAAACTGCATGCTTTATTGGATCGCATTGTTTTCAGGTATTAGGAACTAAAAAGGAACTAAAAACTAAACGTGTGGCAGGCTTTATGATGATGCGGGCGGTGCCTGAGAACCAAGACTATTATTTTTTTTAGCCTAATGCATAGCAGTTCACAATATTATAGCCATAATGCTACAAATTGAATTTTGAAAAAATTATCAATATTTGTCTCGTGAAATACTTACTATAGACAGTGGTATTATTCATTACCAACCGTGAGCATCTATATTTTGTTTCCATCTTTACTGCAAAGTTACAATTAAGAAACATCTGTGAGTCACATATCGGTTGGTTTCCCACAAAGCTGAAACCTGCCAAATATCTCACCAGCTCCATCCTGTTCATCCCAAGGTCGTTCCTTCTCCGTGTTCTCATCTTCACAGTCTACCGACGCCTCTGTTTTGCTGCTAGATTTCTGAAAGAGGAAATCATAAATTAGCTTCATGCTCACAATCAAAAACACAAGGGGGCACGGGTGGCCCAGTGGTCTAAGGTGCCTCGATTCGCTGTGCAGAGTTGCGTCCCTTTGGCACGCAAGAAACCTATGATTGTGGGTTCGAATCCCAGTTTGCCCCGATTATGTTTCTAGGTTTGTGCTCGTGCTCATGGGTTTCACCGAAGTGGTAAACGTCTGAGACCTGCATCACTTCTGGCTTTCCTCCCACATCAAGCTGACACACTGTGATATAAAAGCAGCATAAAACCCAATTCATTCACTCAAAATTATGAGTAACAAACATATTTGGCATAATGACAAAAGTTTAGGAAAAGAAATTATTTTGGGGTTGCCATGTGCGCAGAGTTAGTTAAGCTTAACTGGTGATCCTGCATTTGGCAGGAAAATAGTGTTTTTCAGATTCTGTGCGTGACGAGGTGCACATGGAGTTCATGCTATACGATCCGTGAAGATCAGGGGTAGAAGTCCACACCAACCCAGGTTTCTAGTGTGCCCAAGGGGCACAACTCCGCACATCAAAATGTGGTGCCTTAGACGACTGGGTGACCCATGCCCCTCATGCCACAAGGAGAGTGTATAAAACAAAGAGTAGAGTGAGTGAGTTTGTTTAACACCACTCTGAACAGTATTCCAGTTATATCAGGGCATGTCAGTTCATCATGGCGTGTATGGTGCCGACACACACCTAGAAACATAATTGGGGGCAAACTGAGATGCAAACCCATGATCATAGGTTTTTGGTATGTCCAAAAGGACGCAACTCAGCACAACGAATTCGTTGACTGAGCCTCTTGTACCCCCATGCTACTAGGAGAGTGAGTGAGTTTCCTGAACAGGTTACATGGGAACAAAGTGAGTGAGTGAGTTGGGTTTAACGCCGCTTTTAACATGATTCCAGTTATATCACAGCGTGTCAGCATATTGTGGGAGGAAAGCCCGAAGTGATGCAGGTCTCAGACGTTTATCACTTTGGTGAAACCCACGAGCACGGGATGGTGCTGACGAACCTAGAAACATAATCGGGACGAACCAGGATTCGAACCCACAATCATAGGTTTCTGGCATGCCAAAGGGACGCAACTCTGCATAGCAAATCGCGGCGCCTTTGACGATTGGGCCACCCGTGCCCCCCTCCTAGGAGAGTGTGTAAGACATAGTATACAGCAGAGATAGATAAATCAGAAGTGAGTGAGGAAATGGTTTACATCACATCAGCAATATTTCAACCAAAGGGAACAGATGATTCTTGTCGTTATTTTACAAACTTGTCGATTCTTGAGCATGGTCAAATGAACACTCACTGTTTTTGGCTCAGTTTTACTTGTCCTTGGCTTTGGACCAGTCTTAGTAAGTCTGTGTGTTGGTTCCGGGATGACAAGTTTGTCAGGACATGCATCATCATGTAGTGTCAGATCTGAAAGATGAGCCCGGTCTCCGTCACTGTCTGATGATACAGCAGCTGCCAGGGAGTCTGCATCTCCTGAGGAACACACGATATATACATCATTTATTTAATGTCTGTTTGTTTGTTTGTTTGTTTGTTTGTTTAACGCCGCACTCAGCAATATTCCAGCTATATGACGGCGATCTGTAATTAATCAAGTCTGGACCAGACAATCCAGTGATTGACATGATGAGCATCGATCCACGCAATTGGGATCGATGACATGCATTAACCAAGTCAGCGAGCATGACCACCCGATCCCGTTAGTCGCCTGTTACGGCAAGCATGGGTTGCTGAAGATCTATTCTACCCTGGACCTTCACGGGTCTCATTTATTTAATGACTGAGTTTGGCTTAACACCACTTTGAACAGTATCTCACTCATGTCATCTTGTGTCAGCTTGATGTGAGTGGAAAGCCCAAAGTGATGCAGGTCTTAGACGTTTTTACCACGGGGTTTGGTGCTTACAAACGAAGAAACACCATCAGAACTCAGGATCATAGGTTTCTGGCACACACAAGGGATGTAACTCTGCACAGAAAATTGTATTGGCTTAATGCTATTTGAAATCATTTTAAAACCCAACAAGACCGTTCGGGAGTTGACCCATAACTGTTGTCTGCCCATCTTCAAAGTTACCTGCCTGCATTCAGGCATTATGAATATTGAAAAATCGTAAAAACTAAGAGACCTCTCACGTCTTGATTCGGTTGAAATAATGCAAACTTGAGAATGTACAAATACATAAGTAGTCTTAAACTTATCGGCCAGACAGTCGGGCAGGTGGAGAAGTGAGTGAGTGAGTATGGTTTTACGCTGCTTTTAGCAATATTCCAGCAATATCACGGCAGGGGACACCAGAAATGGGCTTCAAACATTGTACCCATGTGGGGAATCTAACCCGGGTCTTCGGCGTGACGAGCAAACGCTTTAACCACTAGGCTACCCCACCGCCCGGCAGGTGGAGGAAAATTTTATGTGGCCCTACAGAAATGTTACCAGCCACTGGCAGGCAGTTACTTCGAACACTGGCTTAATGGGCCATGTGCAAATAATCATCTAGACCTGCTGAGAGGTCGATATTTCACCAACGTCTGCAACAAATGTCAAAAAAAAAGATATCTTATAAAAATGCATGAATTTGAATTACAAATTTCATAATTCATGTTATTGGAAATCTGGAACGCCTTGCACCATGAAATTATTGTGACTGGTTAACAATAGCCTTAACTCTGTCTTGAAAGTTTAGCAACCCTGTTAAGATTACCAAAGATCAAATCTACTTTTGCATGTCTTATTATATATAGTGAGTGAGTGAGTTGGGTTTAACGCCGCTTTTAACAGTATTCCAGTTATATCGCAGCATGTCAGCTTAATGTGGGAGGAAAGCCCGAAGTGATGCAGGTCTCAGATGTTTACCACTTCGGTGAAACCCACGAGCACGGGTATGGTGCTGACAAACCTAGAAACATAATCGGAGCGAACCGGAATTCGAATCCACGATCAAAGGTTTCTGGCGTGTCAAAGGGACGCAACTCTGCACAGCGAATCGTGGCGCCTTAGACGACTGGGCCACCCGTGCCCCCTAATACTTAAATGTGATCCGATGTACCAAGCAGTTACTTCCCTTTACATGCACACTGCTTTACTGTGCATCCTTTGGTATGGTCATGGCGGCAATAGGAGTTTGTATGCTTGTTTATGTAGGGACGCACAACTGTTTATTTGGTTACATACTAGTTTGAACGAGCAGAAAAAAAAAACACCGTCCGCCTGTACTATTTTTTTCAAAAATCATTGCCTGAGAACAAATTCTTATATTTTTTTAAGCCTAAAAGAAAGATGCCTCCTTACATTTTTTGTTTGTTGTTGGTCTGAAAAATAACTGTGTGATGAAACTATTGCAAGTGTGTGTCAGTTTTTGCAGTAATTTCCTGCTCGCAAAACTTTCCAGATTTACAGTATATACCTTGTAGAGGTCACTTGTATTTCAATGACCAAAGAAAAAGGCTTTAATAATTAGTTTTATATTGCTGCAATGAATGCAATGTTAAATTACCTCTAAACTTTGGAAAATAATAACTAGTTGTTCCCAAATTGTCTGCCAAGGACCCTTATTCCGAAAATAATGAAGTCCTATATAAATCTGTACGTGTGGGCCCCTTCAAGTTACTTAGAGATCAGAGACAACCAATTGACCTCACCATTGTCCTCATCATCTTTTGGAGTGCCAGTTTGAAAATGTGTCCGAGATGTGACACAATGCATCTGTTTCTCTTCCCCAGCAGCCATTAGACTGGGATCACCATCCTCCCCAGTAGGCTGCCTCAGCTGTTTATCTGCAAATAATGGTGCTACCATTAGGGTAGACTAACACTTAGTCCCAGAAATAAAGTTGTCTTATTTAAAAATGTATATCTCCAAAATGAAAACAAAATACAAATGGAGCCCACAACAATGCTAACTTAGAGCTGAGGCAATCTAGACTTGCCAAATCATTGTAGACTTGAGTTGGATTCACTTTTCAATTAATTCTCTGGGGTCTTGGAGACAGACTACCATTAGGGAAGTAACCATCATTCAGACTGTCATCATTTTCATGTTCAACATCCACTTCCATGCTTAAGTTTGAACACTATAAACCGTCATGAAATTTTAAAAATAATGTTAATCATTTAGTGATTCACTTGACAAATAGAATATCTAGCTTGACATGGTCATACTTGTATTTATCAGTATTATCAGGCAATAAATAAACATAGGAGTTCCTTCTCTTAACCACTAACAGGAACCTCCCAAGCAATCTATTGTTAATGCCACTTAACCCATTCACATGGATCACTGCTGATGATATTAACCACAAGTCTGCCTGGCCCAGATTCAGTCGACCGCCTCCATGGTCTAGTGGTAGAGCGTCCGCCCGGAGAGCGGAAGGTCCGGGGTTCGATCCCCAGGCGCGTCATACCAAGAGACGTTTAAAGATGGTACCGTATTTTCTTGAGTATAGTGCACACTTTTTTTTTTAAAAACACAGCTGTGTAGAAAAAAAATAGTTTCAGATACAATTTTTGACGATCCATGCATTAAAATCCTGTAAAGTTATATCATTGGGTGTGTCTTGACCGAATCACCAGTAGATTCCAAGAAAACGTGTGTACAGCTGATTGCTGTGTCCGGCTTAGTTTACGAGAAAAGCCATAAGGTAATCTTAATCCCTGGATATAAAACAATGCCTAACAGAACAAAAAATACAATTTAAACGGTAAATCAACATGTCTGGTGATTTGTTATCTCAAATTTTGAATTTGTACTGACCAAGTTTCTCATCACCCATTCGTTTGCTGGACTTCGCTAAAGGGGTACAGTGTAATTTTTGGTATTCAAATTTTTTTTTTCAAAAATATTGAATCCGCTAGAGGGGGATGCGCATTATACATGGGTGCGCACTATACTCAAGAAAATACGGTACTTGTTGTTACCCTGTCTGGTGCTCGGCATTAAGGGGCTAAAACAAGGACTGGTCGGCTCGGAGTCAGTATACTGTGTCTGAGTGGGGTATTCATATTAAACTTTGGCATTGTATCTCAGTGTGCTAGCACTATAAATCGGCATCAGTCCAGACTAGTACAAGCAGCCACACACACACAGACATGTGCATGCACGTCGCTATATAAGTGCAATAATCTTGGATGCAACGTTAAACCCAATTTCACCTCACCTCACCCAGATTCAGTCATGTACATGCACATGACACAGCTGGAATACTGCCGACACATTCATAATGGAGTCACATAAGTTAGCAGGATCAGTAGTTTTCGACTCAACAACTCACTTGACTTAACCTTTCTGTTCTTTGGACTGTCAGCAGTCTTGGATCTCCTCCGTGTCTGTTTCCTGGATGGTGTTGTGTGTGGATCCTTGTTGACTTGCTCTCGCCAGGTCCACTCACTGGGCACAAGTTTCCCAATTTCTCCAGCAACAGTCAAGCGCAGATGAGGAACGGGACTCGATTGCAAGACAAACGGACCAAGCAAAACACAGTCGTGCAGATCTGCAGTCTTACTATGAATGTAAAACAGGGGAGTCTTCCCTTCTTCCACCAGAAGTGTTGACTTCACGTCTTTCACCATTTGACCACTTTGCGGAGGTGTTTTCTTCAGATTTAACAATGCCATTACTTTACTTTTGGATTCTGATGTCACATTTTCCACATTTATTCCTTTAGGTTTCACACTTTTGTTTATCTCAGTATTCAATGCATCATGGGTGTTTGCAGATAATTCCTTCTCAGTAACAACAATCTCATTATCTTTAACAGTGTGATTATGAAAATTGCTAGACACTCTCAAGTCTATAGTTCCTAACGAAACTGGTTTTAATTGTTCAGGACAACTGTCTGAACTTGCGTTAACTTTAAGATCATTGACATCAATATGCTGCATGACCTCGCTTATTTGCAAGTAAGTTTTGTCAGTGTATATAATATCATGACTGGCAGTTAAAGATGTTTTTCTAGTCCTCTCTCCAGTCACAGAAACAGTTTCACAATCAGAATGAGACACACAATCCGCAACAAATTGAAATGTAGATCCATTTTGCACTTTATCATCGTTTTCATGGTCATGTTTGTTAACTTTATCATGTTTACCTGTGTCGCCATCACTTTTAGAGTCATTGTCATGCTGACCATTGTTTAATTCAAAAGTATTGTCTCTGTTATTCGAGTTGTTTTCAATATTGGTTTGATGAACTGTGACAACATCTGATAATCGACGCCTCTTACCATGTTCTCTGTCTGTGTCAACCAATTTTCTCTTTGGAGAAACGTTCTTTTCAAGATAATATGAAATAGAACGATTGCACTCTGATTCAGGCACTTGACAATCACCCACGTCATTTTCATTTTTCAGTGTCTTCTGTTTCCGAGCTTTAGAACAACTTGCAGTTTGTCTACTTTTTGTCTTGCGTTTTCTTCCCTTCGATTCAATGTCAACAATTTCATCCCAGTCTATGATATTGCACGAGATCGATTTATTGTCACAAGTGAATGTTTCTGATTTCAAGCATAGCTGAACGATTAGATCTGTAAAATTGGCATCGATGTCACAATCAGAATGGTTATTATCGTTTTTGTGTCGTCGAGGTTTCGAGACACTGGCTGAGAAATGTCTGGTGTTTTGTTTTGAGCCGGAGGTCTGGTGTAGGAGGGATTCCAGGAACGCGAGAGGAAATGCTATCCTTACTTCTCTTAGTTGCATTATGCTAAATTATAGAAATTGTGGGTACTTTGTGCGATGTTGGAAGAGGAAATGTCAACATTAATAATGGCGCAATAACATTATATAACGGTATACAAGATGCACCGTCCCGTTGTTTGCGAAATGGCAGCCATTTTCAAAGTTTACAAAGGGAGGTAACTTTAATATTTGATACTCCTAGCATACCACGTATAATTACTTCGATAAGATATGAACATATGTCACTGTGTATTATGTAGTTAGTGAAAACTTTCTTGAAAAGAAAACACAAAGTATGATTCTGGAATCACTTTAGATTTGTATGAATATATCATCTCTTAATGAATTCATTGGAGGTTCAGAAGTTATTGGAATTGTAGCTGAGGGAATAAAAAATACAATGCAGTAGCATGTCATTACGCATCAATTTGAACCACAGCCATAATTCTCAGCTTCTCTGCTCAAATGTCACAGATCCCCACGTTTGAGTTAAAACTGAAAGTAATGTCCGCACTATTTAGGCCTTATAGTGCCTTGAATTAATTTATTTCTGTCAGCAAAGGATTTAGAATATTAAGAAACATAGTTTGCTCTACCCCCTTGTGTAGTGTAATAAAGTATAGTTTTGCCCGTGATTTTTAAAGTTAAAGCACGACACGCCTGCATACATTCGTGACCAACTCGTGTTATTCCGGGACAAGCCGTTCAGGTTACGGAAAGGGACGAGTGGTGACGAATGGCATCTAATAGGTCGCAGTCCGCTGTTCAGAGTTGCTTCCCTTATCCATGCCATCAACCTGTGGTCGTGGCGTTCGAATGCATGGTTCGCCCTAAATATGTTTATGAAATTCACCAAACAAAGAGGGCCCTCTCTATAGACTCCCTGACCAAAGTGACACGCGTCTAATGGCTGCGTCATTCCCTCTCACACCAAGCTGACACGCCGTGATATAACTGGAATACTGTCCAAAGCGGCGTAAAAACCAAACTCACTTATTCGCAGTTACGTAGAACGGATTAAAGGACTGACAATATTAACATATCTTCAAAAGAAAATTATGATCTGTGTTTTCTGCTTGTTGAGATATGCTTTTGACACTGCTAAACTAAATAGAAATCACGATTATTGACCCCGATTGAAATCTACGTGAACCACGTGACAATCCACAATCCAAATATCATATTCTAGAAGTTGTCGAGTCAGTCAGAAAACATGAGGGTGTTGTTTTCTGATTGTGTTAGTCGTATTCGGGATGCAGGGATGCTGGGGTGGCACCATCATCATGTACAGTAAGTGCTGGAAGGAAGGGTGCTCGTTCAGGGACGGTGATGCAGCCTAGCGGAACGCCTACTGTCACGTGACACGGTGTTCACATGACACGATTTGTCTCAAGTTTGTGCAGCAGCAAGCAGAAGCTGATGGAGGCTTACTTTGAATGAGCGATCGAAGTAGGAGATTTTAAGTAAGCTTCAGATGGAATTGTCTCGACAGAGTGAAAGATGTGGAAGTGCACAGTTACAATGAAAATAAAACTGAAAAAGGCACTGACAACTGGGGCGTGTGAAAATCCCCCCTTTGTAAACTTTGCTACACCTCAGCGCTACAATAGCTTTGTGGAAAGGACAACTGAATTGTAAATGGGCCGTTATGTGGTATTAAATTAATATTTATTATATACTCCAGTGTGACAGACTAAGTTTTCTGAAGTTGAGAAAATTGATATTTTCATTGCAGTGAACATCTATAAAACTTTGACGGATCTTTTGCCATACAAGAGTTACCTCCCCACAAATTGTCTCCCTTTATCGTATCTGGCCGTACACAAACTGTTGACTTCCTTTTAACGTTAGTTCCACGTAGAAAAAGCAAAATAAAGACAGATGGTCATTTATAGATTTATAATGTCGCTTCTTGCCGCTTGTTATTCTTTTGAAAATGTTTCGTTATTAACTGTAAATTTATCATTTAACTCGTCAATCGAGACTGTCCGTTTCGCAAAGCTCCATTTTTGTTACTTGACCAGCGTGTATTCCTTCGCTTCCAACAACAGTCTCGTAGCTTTCAAGAATAATTTAAGTCGATTTTGTATCCAAATGTATGATAAAGAATTTTAGTGAACTCAAACATTTTTTTTTACTTTTTACTTTTGTTTAGATTTTTTAGATTTTGTAAACTCTGAACTACTTTTTAAGTCGCAATTACAAGGGGTGGTAATACGTCCCTGCGTGTTAGCTTGGGAGAGTTTATGTTTAAAGGGTTTACATTTGTAATGGGGAAAAAACTACACCAGCACTATTCTAGTAATATGACGTTGGTCTGTAAAGAATCGAGTCTGGGCCAGACAATCCAGTGATTGATATCATGAGCATCGATCTACGAAATTGGGATACGATGACATCTATCAACCAAGTCAGCGAGCCTGACCACCCGATCCCGTTAGTCGCCTCTGATGACAAGCACGAGATGCTGAAGACCAAGACCAATTCCATCACGGGAGGGTGCGAGGGGGCTTTATCGGTCCTAGCCATGTTTGGTGTTGTGTCGTGGCTAGAAGACTACACGTTTAACAATGACCAGATCAGGGCGGAGGACGTCGTCATCACCAAGAAGTCACTGCAGCTGGTGTACGATGCGCGGTCATAGGAAACAAACTGGCCGTGAGACTGTGTGAAGATATCCTATCAACTGTTTCAGTGACAGGTAGGGAAAGTGAGTGACGCGGACATAGAATTGTTTGGTTTGTGTTCTGAAATACAACTAAGATCTCCAGATGCCTTATTTTGCTACCATACTGATTCTTCCTGTGTTTGAAACAACAATCCACATATTAACATTTTATTGATGGAGTTGTTGCTGTAGTTGCTGAAACTGCGCCACAGTGGATATATGAACTGGGATGTGACAAAGCCAAACAGTATAACAAATATTTCAACACACGATTTCATTTATTTCTCAAGGTGCTCACTACGACGTTTTACAACAAACAAAACACGAACTTATAAACTATACAAATGCATCTATTCATGTAAAAAATGCAAGTTAAAGCCTAAACAGAACAACGTCTCCACATTTCAAATATTCACGTAAATAGTAATACTGCTCTAAAAAGTCTTAACTTTTAAATTCAAGTAACTACAAAAAGTGACAATAGTTTCAATGAGCATTGGCTGTAGCCAGCACAAACTGACATCTCTTTGTTGAAGTACCCGACAGCGACACCATAACAGCACACACACAATGCTTTGCTGATCAGGGGAGGTTAAACAACGTTGGCGGCGGAGAGAAGCTGGATGGGTGAGTGTTCTCAGGAAGACTTGACTCGGGAAAAAGCCGTGGAGTGACGATGCCTCTTTTCACCCAGCGGCATGTGGGTACCCGGTATGAAGGGATCGTAGATGATGTATTATGAAATGAAAAATATACAAATATTGTTTTTGTTCAAAACATATTCTTAAGCAATCAATCACTTGGCAGATTCTTCCACGTCATGTGAGTTGAATTTGGTCTGACTTACATTATTTACCTTTCTTAAAATAGACAACGAAAGGCCATTCAGCCAGATGCATGTCGTATTTATTGTTTATATTTCAATAGAGACATTCCTATAATTCCAAGTGCAGAAGGGGGCACGGGTGGCCCAGTCGTCTAAGGTGCCGCGATTCGCTGTGCAGAGTTGCGTCCCTTGGGCATGCCAGAAATCTATGATTGTGGGTTCGAATCCCGGTTCGCCCCAATTATGTTTCTAGGTTTGTCAGCACCATACCCGTGCTCGTGGGTTTCACCGAAGTGGTAAACGTCTGTGACCTGCATCACTTCGGGCTTTCCTCCCACATTAAGCGAACACGCCACGATATAACTGGAATACTGTTAAAAGCGGCGTTAAACCCAACTCACTCACTCCAAGTGCAGACTAACTGTTGTTAATTTGTTTGTTGTTTAACGCCGAACTCAGCAATATTCCAAATATATGACGGCGGTCTGTAGTTAATCGAGTCTGGACCAGACAAGCCAGTGATTGATATCATGAGCATCGATCCACGCACTGGGATACGATAAAATGCATCAACCAAGTCAGCGAACCTGACCACCCGATCCCGTTAGTGGCGTGACGAGCAAACGCTTTAACCACTAGGCTACCCCACCTTCCCCGTTCACATAGCAGCATTGACGATAGGTCTAAATCAAGGTTTTATGGTACTTACCCCACACCAGGTCATGGAAGTGAAAATGTGTGCGTAGCCTCGGTGTTAGCTTGTGTTGTTGTGTTCAATAGATATAGAGTTATATAAGCTGCGAGAAAGGGTTTGTGCTCAAAGATGCAACGCAGGGATGAAATACACAGTGCTACTAAAGTTCATGAAAAGTAAGAAACATTCACGCACATCAAGCATCATACAGTCCACATACAAGCTGCTGTCATGTGTCCACGGAGACTGTTTCAACCATGCTGCTACCGGTAATATAGCATGAGTGAGTGAGTGAGTATAGTTTTACGCCGCTTTTAGCAATATTCCAGCAATATCACGGCGGGGCACACCAGAAATGGGCTTCACACATTGTACCCATGTCGGGAATCGAACCCGGGTCTTCGGCGTGACGAACGCTTTAACCACTAGACTACCCGACCGCCCCTAATATAGCATGACGCGTCATCAGTGGATATACCACACACGTACACACTATGGCGTTATCATTAAAGTGACGTCATCAGGAAGCGCCCGATGTAAATGAACCAAACCCTGTGGTCAACGTCTAGTTAATACATGTAGAAAACGATATCAACAATATGATAACTTCTAGATTATCTTGACTAATGGAAAACATCAAGATAATCTTGACTAATAACGTCGAGATCATCTTGATTGATAATACCAACATAATCTGGGCTGGTGGATATTTTCTAAAGATTCCTAGTTTAGGGACACATTCGACATAATCGACAGGGCCTCGTTCCACAAAAGCGATCGTAGCGCTAAGACAGTCCAAGCCAGTTTTAAAGTATGGGACTGACGACCACCTTAGCACTACAAATGCTTTGTGGAACGATGTATGACGTTTTAATACTGTGCGTAGGACATCAACGGTCAGGTAATAATGGAAATATATAAACAAGAACACACAATGCCATATAGAAAGTGGTCAAATGTAACACATATTTGAGATGACATCTTCTCAGTAAAGTACAGATTCCCCCCCCCCCCCCCCCAAAAAAAAAAAAAACCCCAAAAAAAACCACCCAAAAACAAAACAAAAACTCACACACAAAAAAAACAAAAAAACCGAGAATCTTTACTGAGAAAGTGTTATCCCAAATATAACATTTGTAACAAATGTATAAACAATACATAAATTTAACTGACGGATAACTTTAAAATCAGGATAACTGAATGGGGTTCTCTATATATCGGCTATGGCATATATCTTCAAGAAATAAAATCTATAGCCATGTGACCAGATCGGTATTTATGATGTTTATTGGTTGCACATGTCTGCACATGTACTTACGGAAGATAATGCAAGTGTTACCTTCTTGATAGCATATGAAGGCAGCAGTCATGTCAGAGCTACATAGACCGTCATTCCATCCCATTCTCTTGTCAGAAGGTTGCATGAAAACACAATCTTCCACACCGCGAGCATTGTTGGGGTCACCTGTTAAAATTAACGAAGGCATCTTGCAGCATTGTTAGTATTTAGGAGCATTTAGATTATGTTTGCTTACACTTTTCATAATCTATTATATATAATGGAATGCTGATTGAAATATACATTTGGTGAGAGCAATATCAGTTACGTTCAGTATATTTCTCAGAAACAAGACACCAACCGGTGTACATAAAAACATATAAATAATAAAAATATCAATATCAAAATGACAGGAGAATTGTGCAAATACATATAGGGATCTAAGGTTACAGTGAAATATGATAGAAATAAAGTAACAAGAATCCCACAACAGCTTCAACATTTCTACAGATGGTATGGATGAATTTGGACAACTTTTTCATATCTTTTACTCTAATGCTGGATGAAACATTTTTTTTAAATTTATACATATTAGGCCATTCAGAGAGATCTTTAGGTATGTACCTAGACCGCCACTGGAGAAGAGCTTCACATCTAAACAGGTAATGAAACACGTCACCAACCGCGGGAGAACTACATAGATTGCACAAACGTTCCACTCTAGGGATATCAGACCAGCGACCAGTTTCAATTGGTAAGTTATGGTTTTTGTTTCTAAATTGTAAGATTGGGTGAGAAACGTTTTTAGGCAGATAAAGGTATTTTTCAAAGGTTATATTTTCTTTAAACATTTTATAGTACACACCTTTAGAACTCTCAGTAATGGAACTGTGCCAATTCTGCAGGAACTGGTCTTTCAATATATCACATTAATGGGTTGTGGTAACGGGAGTCCACAGTTGTTTAATATCTTCTTTACAAGGTTGACCATGGACGTTTTTCAGAGATGCCAGCGTAGTTACGAGTGATACATTTATAAATAATATTTGTTAATTTTGGAGTTTGATTATAGATTGATATTTTAGGCCAGAATAGAATAACACGTTTGTACATTTTGATATAGTGGGGTTCCCTTCCGAGCTCCCCATAAGTCATATAGTTTGGTGTCCCATTTCGAAGACCTGCTGCCAGTTTAAGAAATTTTGAGTGAACCTTTTCGATCAGTTTAATGTTTTCAAATGCCAAGATTTCACAACAGTACATTAGTGTCAAATGCGGATATTAAATAATCCAAAGGCAAATTAATATTACGTCACTGTTGTTTTATTAATGAGAACATAGCTTTTGTTGCATTTTCTACTAAGATTTTGATGGCTTCTACAAATCTCCCGTTTCTGTGAACCTTTATTCCAAGGTGAGTATAATTATCAACAATTTCTATAGTTTGATTGCCAAAGGTGAATGAGTACTTCAGATTGCTGGTTCTAGCAGGCCCGGTTCCAACAACTATTATCTTGGTTTTGGACAAGTTGACATTTAGTTTCCATCGTGAACAATAACTATGAAAATATTGTCAAGTGATTGTTGTAGGTCTGCAGGGTCTTCACTGAATAAGACAGCATCATCTGTATATAACAAAACAATAAACTGCACGCAACATATATAAGATTGGCTTTGCTTTGGTAATCTAAATTAAAACCTTTACTTCCTCGTTTAATTAAGAAGGGCTCAAGATCATTAATATAAAGTGAAATCAAAAGTGGCGAGAGATTTTCGCGATGCGAGATGCAACTGGCCCAAAGAGCTGCTGCCAAGTTGTCAGCCTCCCCTGTCTTAAGACTCAGAGTGAGTGAGTTGGAATAAACACTGATGTAAACATTATTATATCTGAATTATGATGTGGCCGCAACAAAATGACAGCAGGTACAAACATGTCAACATACCTCTTTGCCAGTTTGTATAATCCATCGGAGACCCGTCAGTCCAGAGAAACGTACCCTCTTCTGCAGCGTCTGTTGCCCCAATTGCAATCCAATTTCTCGTAATATTCTCTGTAAACAATCATATGTTACATGAAACTGATTGATTTGGTTGGTTGGTTTGTTGTTTAACGCCGCACTCAGCAATAGTACAGCTATATGTCGGCGGTCTGTAAATAATCGAGTCTGGACCAGACAATCCAGTGATTGATATCACGAGCATCGATCCACGCACTGGGATACGATGACATGCATCGACCAAGTCAGCGAACCTGACCACCCGATTTCGTTAGTCGCCTCTTACGACAAGCATAGTCGCCTTTTACGGCAATTATGGGTTGCTGAAGACCTATTCTACCCTGGATCTTCACGGGTCGAAACTGATTGAAAAATACATACATTACACGTTCTAATAACATCAATTCAGATAGAAGACGCATTCAGTTTAGTGTTGACTTCAAAACAGTACACTAACAGCATTCAGTATTGTAGCCAATTCGCTCAAAACTGATTCATTTGCTGCAGGGTGTAAGAAATGTCTTAAGGTTCGCAAAGTCACTGCTGTACAAACACCCCTGTAACTTACACGTACACATTGACTTGTCTTCCTCCTCAGGTCCTTGGTTAACGCTTTCGGTGTCCCCCGCCGTGATATTGCTGGCATATTGCTAAAAGCGGCGTAAAAGCATATTCACTCACTTCGCTCATTTGATCGCAACTCCCATACTTCAGCATAGGTTTACAATAGTCTTAGTGCTAAGATCGCTTTGTGCAAGTGGGCCCAGTCTGGAGGGATATACCCTTTCTTACACACCTGTGGTTGAGAAACCCATTTGAGATAACTGGTATCAAACATATGTGTGAGATCGAATTCCAGGCCCGTGATTGGCTACTCCATGGTGATGACCTAGGGTCAGATGATGACGGACTACTTTCCTGAGTGTAAGTCATTCATAAGTTGCTCGTGCTTCAGTCGAATGTTAACCTACGTCTGTAGTGAACAACAGGACTGTGTAATTAATAATAAAAATAAACAAACTCGTCCTCGTCTGCGAGTTTGTTTGTTATTATTATCAGTTACATTATCTGTTGTTATGTCAACATTATCGTGTTTTCAGAGTGTAAACCCCCTGGCTGCCACAGCGACACATGTCCCTTCTCTTCAACCCTCACTTCGAAATCGAATAAAATTCAAAATACATCACGCAAACACTTCACAGTTTTGAATTCCCCCTTCTGTTTATCATTTACTGTCATTTTAGGCAATTCAAAATTACTGAAAGTTAGGTACATTGTAAATCTCGCCAAATCACAATTCACGGCGTTATATAAATATTTACTGTGTGTTTAGAAATCTAAATATCGGATATTTACTCGAATAATTAAAGTAGAAAAATAGCATATTAGTGATCACGGGTATCAAAATTACTAAAGATAATTCTGAAACGTCGCTGATAAGCCTAGAATCGTCTAGAATGTTTTGGAAAATATGCATACACGAACGCCGAAGCGTTCCGCCATATTGGATTGTGTTTACAAAATGCCGGTTATGAGACGCCTACACTCGATCAGGTATATTTCAAACTCAGCTGCTATACATGCATCCCTGAATTCCTCATACATTTTCGAAACAATGGATAAATGGTCTTTGTCACCAATGCAAATTATCTAGATAAAATCATGCGAAAAAAATTAGGTATGGAAACGAAAACTGTGCTCGGAAAATTGTACTTGCTGAAATGTAAACAAAGCAAAATTCAGATTTTACACTGTGTAGCATTAAAGAGGTACTTTCGTCTAATTGTTGCATACACTGGCTCGATCACGCGTTTGAGAATATTCATGGGAAGAGTATCGTTGCACTAACTATGGAAATACACATATATACATTACAATGATGTGGTAAATTCAACAGAAGCCGTAAAAGTTCCGTCCTGTGTGACGACATGACTGACGCTAAATCACGCACAACGATGACGGTAGTTATCTGCATTTCTGACTAATTCTCTTTGTTACATTGGAAAACATGGTAAACAAATAACAGTACGCAGATTGTCAAAATGTTTCTGATTACTTACGTGACATATTTATGTGCATACGATCCCTCAATCAACGAAAATCTCCACTGGAAATCCCGCGTACTGTTCTCAATGAACACGCCATTTTGTAAAAGTCGGTCACTGGTAGTGATGTCATATGGAAGTAAACATTGTTGTACATATTTGGTCATTTCTTTGAGGTGTAAACTTTCAACTTGGCACCCAGCGTGTTCTTGGTTTTTGTCTAGTATGCATTTTCATCATCGCCTTGATAATCCACAGATAGGACGGAAACCTTTTTGTGTAGGGTCACATTATTTATGAGTAGTAAGCAGCACATAGGATGACGTCACTTATGACAGTGGTATTATGTATTAATGCGCTACTGCAATCATGAGACAAAATTCATCGGTTCGATGCTTAAAAGGTGCGATTTTAGGGTGTGTAAGAAACAGATTACTGCACTCGTGCCTGTCAGATACCAGTTATCTTACAACTCGTTGTTACAAAGCGTATCTAACTCGCTTTCGCTCGTTAGATACGTTTTGAAACAACTCGTTGTAAGATCAATGGTATCTGACAGACACTCGTGTAGTAATCTCTATGTATTGAATATCTGTCGGTATAATATGGTTTGCTATGAATAATCCATCATATCAACCTCCACATAATCTCCGTGTTTCACATGAAGGACACGTATCAAAATTCAAGTAGTCACACGGATAGGCAAATAAATCGTTCAACATTAATGTCAGCATTTAGAGACATCCCAAACTGGCTTGGAAGAGATCAAGCGATATCTACACTGTAGATATCGCTGCAATGAAATTGCATCACAATGCTTTGCAGACCATTGTGACGTCATTGGTTACCATGACGTCACAATCAAATGACATCACTAATGGCCCTGCTACTGAAGCTGTTAGCAGTACTTTTTACACTGAAGACACTGCTTATTACTTTCTGCAAACTGTTGGATGATAAATAAAATCTCACCCTCATGTCTTTTGATATCAAATATATCAACACTCGTTGATAAAAGTGGAAATAAATCCTCGGCAAGCCTCGGAGGTTTCCCACTTTTATCAACTCGTGTTGATATATTTGATATCAAAAGCCACTCGGGTGAGATTCTCTATATATGAAACTTTATATCTCGAGTAATGCAAAATGTCTGGACATATCTTCAGTATTTGACACAGAAAAACAGAAAAAGATAGTTATCACTTTTACCGTATACAAAGTCATTTTCAGCCTGGGAGTGGATACTGATGAGATCGGCTCCAATCGACAGACAACTTGCTCTGGCATCATCCCAAAACAGCCTGGAATCATTGTACAAATACCAGCCTCCTCTGACGTCGAAACTCGCCCATTTCCCCGAATAAGAACTGACTGTAAAACAAAGAATTTCAAATCAAGTATAGTGGTAGATAGAACAAACACCACCGTTATCTATTCAACGTTGGAACGCAGTAATGCACTTAAGGTTTCAACAGAATTAAGAAAGCACGTGGAAATTATTTCAGCACTGCACACAATACAGATCCTTGTTACCTAGCCATTGTTTAAAATCGTGCCTTCGTTTTAGATGAAACACAGTTGCTTTTGGCTACAGAGTGGCATGTTCATAATAAAATGCAGACCCTGATATACTGAATAGAAAATAACATCTTTTGTTACTGACGACCACCTTAGCGCTCCAAATGCTTTGTGGAAGGATGTATGACGTTTTAAAACTGTGTGTAGGACATCAACGGTCAGGAAATAATGGAAATCTATAAACATGAACACACAATGCCATACAGAAAGTAAAAACAAACCAAAAAACAAAACAAAAACTCACACACAAAAAACAAAAAAAAACGAGAATCTTTACTGAGAAAGTGTTATCCCAAATATAACATTTGTAACAAATGTATAAACAATACATAAATTTAACTGACGGATAACTTAAAATCAGGATAACTGAATGGGGTTCTCTATATATCGGCTATGGCATATATCTTCAAGAAATAAAAGCTATAGCCATGTGACCAGATCGGTATTTATGATGTTTATTGGTTGCACATGTACTTACGGAAGATAATGCAAGTGTTACCTTCTTGATAGCATATGAAGGCAGCAGTCATGTCAGAGCTACATGGACCGTCATTCCATCCCATTCTCTTGTCAGAAGGTTCCCTAATCCATCCCTTTTCCTTGTCAGACGGTTGCATGAAAACACAATCTTCCACACCGCGAGCATTGTTGGGTTCACCTGTTTTTAACGAAGGCATCTTGCAGCATTGTTAGTATTTAGGAGCATTTAGATTATGTTTGCTTACACTTTTCATAATCTATTATATATAATGGAATGCTGATTGAAATATACATTTGGTGAGAGCAATATCAGTTACGTTCAGTATATTTCTCAGAAACAAGACACCAACCGGTGTACATAAAAACATATAAATAATAAAAATATCAATATCAAAATGACAGGAGAATTGTGCAAATACATATAGGGATCTAAGGTTACAGTGAAATATGATAGAAATAAAGTAACAAGAATCCCACAACAGCTTCAACATATCTACAGATGGTATGGATGAATTTGGACAACTTTTTCATAGCTTTTACTCTAATGCTGGATGAAACATTTTTTTTAAATTTATACATATTAGGCCATTCAGAGAGATCTTTAGGTATGTACCTAGACCGCCACTGGAGAAGAGCTTCACATCTAAACAGGTAATGAAACACGTCACCAACCGCGGGAGAACTACATAGATTGCACAAACGTTCCACTCTAGGGATATCAGACCAGCGACCAGTTTCAATTGGTAAGTTATGGTTTTTGTTTCTAAATTGTAAGATTGGGTGAGAAACGTTTTTAGGCAGATAAAGGTATTTTTCAAAGGTTATATTTTCTTTAAACATTTTATAGTACACACCTTTAGAACTCTCAGTAATGGAACTGTGCCAATTCTGCAGGAACTGGTCTTTCAATATATCACATTAATGGGTTGTGGTAACGGGAGTCCACAGTTGTTTAATATCTTCTTTACAAGGTTGACCATGGACGTTTTTCAGAGATGCCAGCGTAGTTACGAGTGATACATTTATAAATAATATTTGTTTATTTTGGAGTTTGATTATAGATTGCTATTTTAGGCCAGAATAGAATAACACGTTTGTACATTTTGATATAGTGGGGTTCCCTTCCGAGCTCCCCATAAGTCATATAGTTTGGTGTCCCATTTCGAAGACCTGCTGCCAGTTTAAGAAATTTTAAGTGAACCTTTTCGATCAGTTTAATGTTTTCAAATGCCAAGATTTCACAACAGTACATTAGTGTCAAATGCGGATATTAAATAATCCAAAGGCAAATTAATATTACGTCACTGTTGTTTTATTAATGAGAACATAGCTTTTGTTGCATTTTCTACTAAGATTTTGATGGCTTCTACAAATCTCCCGTTTCTGTGAACCTTTATTCCAAGGTGAGTATAATTATCAACAATTTCTATAGTTTGATTGCCAAAGGTGAATGAGTATTTCAGATTGCTGGTTCTAGCAGGCCCGGTTCCAACAACTATTATCTTGGTTTTGGACAAGTTGACATTTAGTTTCCATCGTGAACAATAACTATGAAAATATTGTCAAGTGATTGTTGTAGGTCTGCAGGGTCTTCACTGAATAAGACAGCATCATCTGTATATAACAAAACAATAAACTGCACGCAACATATATAAGATTGGTTTTGCTTGGTAATCTAAATTAAAACCTTTACTTCCTCGTTTAGTTAAGAAGGGCTCAAGATCATTAATATAAAGTGAAATCAAAAGTGGCGAGAGATTTTCGCGATGCGAGATGCAACTGGCCCAAAGCGCTGCTGCCAAGTTGTCAGCCTCCCCTGTCTTAAGACTCAGAGTGAGTGAGTTGGAATAAACACTGATGTAAACATTATTATATCGGAATTATGATGTGGCCGCAACAAAATGACAGCAGGTACAAACATGTCAACATACCACTTTGCCAGTCTGTATAATCCATCGGAGACCCGTCAGTCCAGAGAAACGTACCCTCTTCTGCAGCGTCTGTTGCCCCAATTGCAATCCAATTTCTCGTAATATTCTCTGTAAACAATCATATGTTACATGAAACTGATTGATTTGGTTGGTTGGTTTGTTGTTTAACGCCGCACTCAGCAATAGTACAGCTATATGTCGGCGGTCTGTAAATAATCGAGTCTGGACCAGACAATCCAGTGATTGATATCATGAGCATCGATCCACGCACTGGGATACGATGACATGCATCGACCAAGTCAGCGAACCTGACCACCCGATTTCGTTAGTCGCCTCTTACGACAAGCATAGTCGCCTTTTACGGCAATTATGGGTTGCTGAAGACCTATTCTACCCTGGATCTTCACGGGTCGAAACTGATTGAAAAATACATACATTACACGTTCTAATAACATCAATTCAGATAGAAGACGCATTCAGTTTAATGTTGACTTCAAAACAGTACACTAACAGCATTTAGTATTGTGGCCAATTCGCTCAAAACTGATTCATTTGCTGCAGGGTGTAAGAAATGTCTTAAGGTTCGCAAAGTCACTGCTGTACAAACACCCCTGTAACTTACACGTACACATTGACTTGTCTTCCTCCTCAGGTCCTTGGTTAACGCTTTCGGTGTCCCCCGCCGTGATATTGCTGGCATATTGCTAAAAGCGGCGTAAAAGCATATTCACTCACTTCGCTCATTTGATCGCAACTCCCATACTTCAGCATAGGTTTACAATAGTCTTAGTGCTAAGATCGCTTTGTGCAAGTGGGCCCAGTCTGGAGGGATATACCCTGTATTGAATATCTGTCGGTATAATATGGTTTGCTATGAATAATCCATCATATCAACCTCCACATAATCTCCGTGTTTCACATGAAGGACACGTATCAAAATTCAAGTAGTCACACGGATAGGCAAATAAATCGTTCAACATTAATGTCAGCATTTAGAGACATCCCAAACTGGCTTGGAAGAGATCAAGCGATATCTACACTGTAGATATCGCTGCAATGAAATTGCATCACAATGCTTTGCAGACCATTGTGACGTCATTGGTTACCATGACGTCACAATCAAATGACATCACTAATGGCCCTGCTACTGAAGCTGTTAGCAGTACTTTTTACACTGAAGACACTGCTTATTACTTTCTGCAAACTGTTGGATGATAAATAAAATCTCACCCTCATGTCTTTTGATATCAAATATATCAACACTCGTTGATAAAAGTGGAAATAAATCCTCGGCAAGCCTCGGAGGTTTCCCACCTTTATCAACTCGTGTTGATATATTTGATATCAAAAGCCACTCGGGTGAGATTCTCTATATATGAAACTTTATATCTCGAGTAATTCAAAATGTCTGGACATATCTTCAGTATTTGACACAGAAAAACAGAAAAAGATAGTTATCACTTTTACCGTATACAAAGTCATTTTCAGCCTGGGAGTGGATACTGATGAGATCGGCTCCAATCGACAGACAACTTGCTCTGGCATCATCCCAAAACAGCCTGGAATCATTGTACAAATACCAGCCTCCTCTGACGTCGAAACTCGCCCAGTTCCCCGAATAAGAACTGACTGTAAAACAAAGAATTTCAAATCAAGTATAGTGGTAGATAGAACAAACACCACCGTTATCTATTCAACGTTGGAACGCAGTAATGCACTTAAGGTTTCAACAGAATTAAGAAAGCACGTGGAAATTATTTCAGCACTGCACACAATACAGATCCTTGTTACCTAGCCATTGTTTAAAATCGTGCCTTCGTTTTAGATGAAACACAGTTGCTTTTGGCTACAGAGTGGCATGTTCATAATAAAATGCAGACCCTGATATACTGAATAGAAAATAACATCTTTTGTTACTGACGACCACCTTAGCGCTCCAAATGCTTTGTGGAAGGATGTATGACGTTTTAAAACTGTGTGTAGGACATCAACGGTCAGGAAATAATGGAAATCTATAAACATGAACACACAATGCCATACAGAAAGTAAAAACAAACCAAAAAACAAAACAAAAACTCACACACAAAAAACAAAAAAAAACGAGAATCTTTACTGAGAAAGTGTTATCCCAAATATAACATTTGTAACAAATGTATAAACAATACATAAATTTAACTGACGGATAACTTAAAATCAGGATAACTGAATGGGGTTCTCTATATATCGGCTATGGCATATATCTTCAAGAAATAAAAGCTATAGCCATGTGACCAGATCGGTATTTATGATGTTTATTGGTTGCACATGTACTTACGGAAGATAATGCAAGTGTTACCTTCTTGATAGCATATGAAGGCAGCAGTCATGTCAGAGCTACATGGACCGTCATTCCATCCCATTCTCTTGTCAGAAGGTTCCCTAATCCATCCCTTTTCCTTGTCAGACGGTTGCATGAAAACACAATCTTCCACACCGCGAGCATTGTTGGGTTCACCTGTTTTTAACGAAGGCATCTTGCAGCATTGTTAGTATTTAGGAGCATTTAGATTATGTTTGCTTACACTTTTCATAATCTATTATATATAATGGAATGCTGATTGAAATATACATTTGGTGAGAGCAATATCAGTTACGTTCAGTATATTTCTCAGAAACAAGACACCAACCGGTGTACATAAAAACATATAAATAATAAAAATATCAATATCAAAATGACAGGAGAATTGTGCAAATACATATAGGGATCTAAGGTTACAGTGAAATATGATAGAAATAAAGTAACAAGAATCCCACAACAGCTTCAACATATCTACAGATGGTATGGATGAATTTGGACAACTTTTTCATAGCTTTTACTCTAATGCTGGATGAAACATTTTTTTTTAAATTTATACATATTAGGCCATTCAGAGAGATCTTTAGGTATGTACCTAGACCGCCACTGGAGAAGAGCTTCACATCTAAACAGGTAATGAAACACGTCACCAACCGCGGGAGAACTACATAGATTGCACAAACGTTCCACTCTAGGGATATCAGACCAGCGACCAGTTTCAATTGGTAAGTTATGGTTTTTGTTTCTAAATTGTAAGATTGGGTGAGAAACGTTTTTAGGCAGATAAAGGTATTTTTCAAAGGTTATATTTTCTTTAAACATTTTATAGTACACACCTTTAGAACTCTCAGTAATGGAACTGTGCCAATTCTGCAGGAACTGGTCTTTCAATATATCACATTAATGGGTTGTGGTAACGGGAGTCCACAGTTGTTTAATATCTTCTTTACAAGGTTGACCATGGACGTTTTTCAGAGATGCCAGCGTAGTTACGAGTGATACATTTATAAATAATATTTGTTTATTTTGGAGTTTGATTATAGATTGCTATTTTAGGCCAGAATAGAATAACACGTTTGTACATTTTGATATAGTGGGGTTCCCTTCCGAGCTCCCCATAAGTCATATAGTTTGGTGTCCCATTTCGAAGACCTGCTGCCAGTTTAAGAAATTTTAAGTGAACCTTTTCGATCAGTTTAATGTTTTCAAATGCCAAGATTTCACAACAGTACATTAGTGTCAAATGCGGATATTAAATAATCCAAAGGCAAATTAATATTACGTCACTGTTGTTTTATTAATGAGAACATAGCTTTTGTTGCATTTTCTACTAAGATTTTGATGGCTTCTACAAATCTCCCGTTTCTGTGAACCTTTATTCCAAGGTGAGTATAATTATCAACAATTTCTATAGTTTGATTGCCAAAGGTGAATGAGTATTTCAGATTGCTGGTTCTAGCAGGCCCGGTTCCAACAACTATTATCTTGGTTTTGGACAAGTTGACATTTAGTTTCCATCGTGAACAATAACTATGAAAATATTGTCAAGTGATTGTTGTAGGTCTGCAGGGTCTTCACTGAATAAGACATCATCATCTGTATATAACAAAACAATAAACTGCACGCAACATATATAAGATTGGTTTTGCTTGGTAATCTAAATTAAAACCTTTACTTCCTCGTTTAGTTAAGAAGGGCTCAAGATCATTAATATAAAGTGAAATCAAAAGTGGCGAGAGATTTTCGCGATGCGAGATGCAACTGGCCCAAAGCGCTGCTGCCAAGTTGTCAGCCTCCCCTGTCTTAAGACTCAGAGTGAGTGAGTTGGAATAAACACTGATGTAAACATTATTATATCGGAATTATGATGTGGCCGCAACAAAATGACAGCAGGTACAAACATGTCAACATACCACTTTGCCAGTCTGTATAATCCATCGGAGACCCGTCAGTCCAGAGAAACGTACCCTCTTCTGCAGCGTCTGTTGCCCCAATTGCAATCCAATTTCTCGTAATATTCTCTGTAAACAATCATATGTTACATGAAACTGATTGATTTGGTTGGTTGGTTTGTTGTTTAACGCCGCACTCAGCAATAGTACAGCTATATGTCGGCGGTCTGTAAATAATCGAGTCTGGACCAGACAATCCAGTGATTGATATCATGAGCATCGATCCACGCACTGGGATACGATGACATGCATCGACCAAGTCAGGGAACCTGACCACCCGATTTCGTTAGTCGCCTCTTACGACAAGCATAGTCGCCTTTTACGGCAATTATGGGTTGCTGAAGACCTATTCTACCCTGGATCTTCACGGGTCGAAACTGATTGAAAAATACATACATTACACGTTCTAATAACATCAATTCAGATAGAAGACGCATTCAGTTTAATGTTGACTTCAAAACAGTACACTAACAGCATTCAGTATTGTGGCCAATTCGCTCAAAACTGATTCATTTGCTGCAGGGTGTAAGAAATGTCTTAAGGTTCGCAAAGTCACTGCTGTACAAACACCCCTGTAACTTACACGTACACATTGACTTGTCTTCCTCCTCAGGTCCTTGGTTAACGCTTTCGGTGTCCCCCGCCGTGATATTGCTGGCATATTGCTAAAAGCGGCGTAAAAGCATATTCACTCACTTCGCTCATTTGATCGCAACTCCCATACTTCAGCATAGGTTTACAATAGTCTTAGTGCTAAGATCGCTTTGTGCAAGTGGGCCCAGTCTGGAGGGATATACCCTGTATTGAATATCTGTCGGTATAATATGGTTTGCTATGAATAATCCATCATATCAACCTCCACATAATCTCCGTGTTTCACATGAAGGACACGTATCAAAATTCAAGTAGTCACACGGATAGGCAAATAAATCGTTCAACATTAATGTCAGCATTTAGAGACATCCCAAACTGGCTTGGAAGAGATCAAGCGATATCTACACTGTAGATATCGCTGCAATGAAATTGCATCACAATGCTTTGCAGACCATTGTGACGTCATTGGTTACCATGACGTCACAATCAAATGACATCACTAATGGCCCTGCTACTGAAGCTGTTAGCAGTACTTTTTACACTGAAGACACTGCTTATTACTTTCTGCAAACTGTTGGATGATAAATAAAATCTCACCCTCATGTCTTTTGATATCAAATATATCAACACTCGTTGATAAAAGTGGAAATAAATCCTCGGCAAGCCTCGGAGGTTTCCCACCTTTATCAACTCGTGTTGATATATTTGATATCAAAAGCCACTCGGGTGAGATTCTCTATATATGAAACTTTATATCTCGAGTAATTCAAAATGTCTGGACATATCTTCAGTATTTGACACAGAAAAACAGAAAAAGATAGTTATCACTTTTACCGTATACAAAGTCATTTTCAGCCTGGGAGTGGATACTGATGAGATCGGCTCCAATCGACAGACAACTTGCTCTGGCATCATCCCAAAACAGCCTGGAATCATTGTACAAATACCAGCCTCCTCTGACGTCGAAACTCGCCCAGTTCCCCGAATAAGAACTGACTGTAAAACAAAGAATTTCAAATCAAGTATAGTGGTAGATAGAACAAACACCACCGTTATCTATTCAACGTTGGAACGCAGTAATGCACTTAAGGTTTCAACAGAATTAAGAAAGCACGTGGAAATTATTTCAGCACTGCACACAATACAGATCCTTGTTACCTAGCCATTGTTTAAAATCGTGCCTTCGTTTTAGATGAAACACAGTTGCTTTTGGCTACAGAGTGGCATGTTCATAATAAAATGCAGACCCTGATATACTGAATAGAAAATAACATCTTTTGTTACTGACGACCACCTTAGCGCTCCAAATGCTTTGTGGAAGGATGTATGACGTTTTAAAACTGTGTGTAGGACATCAACGGTCAGGAAATAATGGAAATCTATAAACATGAACACACAATGCCATACAGAAAGTAAAAACAAACCAAAAAACAAAACAAAAACTCACACACAAAAAACCCAAAAAAACGAGAATCTTTACTGAGAAAGTGTTATCCCAAATATAACATTTGTAACAAATGTATAAACAATACATAAATTTAACTGACGAGACCAGATCGGTATTTATGATGTTTATTGGTTGCACATGTACTTACGGAAGATAATGCAAGTGTTACCTTCTTGATAGCATATGAAGGCAGCAGTCATGTCAGAGCTACATCGACCGTCATTCCATCCCATTCTCTTGTCAGAAGGTTCCCTAATCCATCCCTTTTCCTTGTCAGACGGTTGCATGAAAACACAATCTTCCACACCGCGAGCATTGTTGGGTTCACCTGTTTTTAACGAAGGCATCTTGCAGCATTGTTAGTATTTAGGAGCATTTAGATTATGTTTGCTTACACTTTTCATAATCTATTATATATAATGGAATGCTGATTGAAATATACATTTGGTGAGAGCAATATCAGTTACGTTCAGTATATTTCTCAGAAACAAGACACCAACCGGTGTACATAAAAACATATAAATAATAAAAATATCAATATCAAAATGACAGGAGAATTGTGCAAATACATATAGGGATCTAAGGTTACAGTGAAATATGATAGAAATAAAGTAACAAGAATCCCACAACAGCTTCAACATATCTACAGATGGTATGGATGAATTTGGACAACTTTTTCATAGCTTTTACTCTAATGCTGGATGAAACATTTTTTTTAAATTTATACATATTAGGCCATTCAGAGAGATCTTTAGGTATGTACCTAGACCGCCACTGGAGAAGAGCTTCACATCTAAACAGGTAATGAAACACGTCACCAACCGCGGGAGAACTACATAGATTGCACAAACGTTCCACTCTAGGGATATCAGACCAGCGACCAGTTTCAATTGGTAAGTTATGGTTTTTGTTTCTAAATTGTAAGATTGGGTGAGAAACGTTTTTAGGCAGATAAAGGTATTTTTCAAAGGTTATATTTTCTTTAAACATTTTATAGTACACACCTTTAGAACTCTCAGTAATGGAACTGTGCCAATTCTGCAGGAACTGGTCTTTCAATATATCACATTAATGGGTTGTGGTAACGGGAGTCCACAGTTGTTTAATATCTTCTTTACAAGGTTGACCATGGACGTTTTTCAGAGATGCCAGCGTAGTTACGAGTGATACATTTATAAATAATATTTGTTTATTTTGGAGTTTGATTATAGATTGCTATTTTAGGCCAGAATAGAATAACACGTTTGTACATTTTGATATAGTGGGGTTCCCTTCCGAGCTCCCCATAAGTCATATAGTTTGGTGTCCCATTTCGAAGACCTGCTGCCAGTTTAAGAAATTTTAAGTGAACCTTTTCGATCAGTTTAATGTTTTCAAATGCCAAGATTTCACAACAGTACATTAGTGTCAAATGCGGATATTAAATAATCCAAAGGCAAATTAATATTACGTCACTGTTGTTTTATTAATGAGAACATAGCTTTTGTTGCATTTTCTACTAAGATTTTGATGGCTTCTACAAATCTCCCGTTTCTGTGAACCTTTATTCCAAGGTGAGTATAATTATCAACAATTTCTATAGTTTGATTGCCAAAGGTGAATGAGTATTTCAGATTGCTGGTTCTAGCAGGCCCGGTTCCAACAACTATTATCTTGGTTTTGGACAAGTTGACATTTAGTTTCCATCGTGAACAATAACTATGAAAATATTGTCAAGTGATTGTTGTAGGTCTGCAGGGTCTTCACTGAATAAGACAGCATCATCTGTATATAACAAAACAATAAACTGCACGCAACATATATAAGATTGGTTTTGCTTGGTAATCTAAATTAAAACCTTTACTTCCTCGTTTAGTTAAGAAGGGCTCAAGATCATTAATATAAAGTGAAATCAAAAGTGGCGAGAGATTTTCGCGATGCGAGATGCAACTGGCCCAAAGCGCTGCTGCCAAGTTGTCAGCCTCCCCTGTCTTAAGACTCAGAGTGAGTGAGTTGGAATAAACACTGATGTAAACATTATTATATCGGAATTATGATGTGGCCGCAACAAAATGACAGCAGGTACAAACATGTCAACATACCACTTTGCCAGTCTGTATAATCCATCGGAGACCCGTCAGTCCAGAGAAACGTACCCTCTTCTGCAGCGTCTGTTGCCCCAATTGCAATCCAATTTCTCGTAATATTCTCTGTAAACAATCATATGTTACATGAAACTGATTGATTTGGTTGGTTGGTTTGTTGTTTAACGCCGCACTCAGCAATAGTACAGCTATATGTCGGCGGTCTGTAAATAATCGAGTCTGGACCAGACAATCCAGTGATTGATATCACGAGCATCGATCCACGCACTGGGATACGATGACATGCATCGACCAAGTCAGCGAACCTGACCACCCGATTTCGTTAGTCGCCTCTTACGACAAGCATAGTCGCCTTTTACGGCAATTATGGGTTGCTGAAGACCTATTCTACCCTGGATCTTCACGGGTCGAAACTGATTGAAAAATACATACATTACACGTTCTAATAACATCAATTCAGATAGAAGACGCATTCAGTTTAATGTTGACTTCAAAACAGTACACTAACAGCATTCAGTATTGTGGCCAATTCGCTCAAAACTGATTCATTTGCTGCAGGGTGTAAGAAATGTCTTAAGGTTCGCAAAGTCACTGCTGTACAAACACCCCTGTAACTTACACGTACACATTGACTTGTCTTCCTCCTCAGGTCCTTGGTTAACGCTTTCGGTGTCCCCCGCCGTGATATTGCTGGCATATTGCTAAAAGCGGCGTAAAAGCATATTCACTCACTTCGCTCATTTGATCGCAACTCCCATACTTCAGCATAGGTTTACAATAGTCTTAGTGCTAAGATCGCTTTGTGCAAGTGGGCCCAGTCTGGAGGGATATACCCTGTATTGAATATCTGTCGGTATAATATGGTTTGCTATGAATAATCCATCATATCAACCTCCACATAATCTCCGTGTTTCACATGAAGGACACGTATCAAAATTCAAGTAGTCACACGGATAGGCAAATAAATCGTTCAACATTAATGTCAGCATTTAGAGACATCCCAAACTGGCTTGGAAGAGATCAAGCGATATCTACACTGTAGATATCGCTGCAATGAAATTGCATCACAATGCTTTGCAGACCATTGTGACGTCATTGGTTACCATGACGTCACAATCAAATGACATCACTAATGGCCCTGCTACTGAAGCTGTTAGCAGTACTTTTTACACTGAAGACACTGCTTATTACTTTCTGCAAACTGTTGGATGATAAATAAAATCTCACCCTCATGTCTTTTGATATCAAATATATCAACACTCGTTGATAAAAGTGGAAATAAATCCTCGGCAAGCCTCGGAGGTTTCCCACCTTTATCAACTCGTGTTGATATATTTGATATCAAAAGCCACTCGGGTGAGATTCTCTATATATGAAACTTTATATCTCGAGTAATTCAAAATGTCTGGACATATCTTCAGTATTTGACACAGAAAAACAGAAAAAGATAGTTATCACTTTTACCGTATACAAAGTCATTTTCAGCCTGGGAGTGGATACTGATGAGATCGGCTCCAATCGACAGACAACTTGCTCTGGCATCATCCCAAAACAGCCTGGAATCATTGTACAAATACCAGCCTCCTCTGACGTCGAAACTCGCCCAGTTCCCCGAATAAGAACTGACTGTAAAACAAAGAATTTCAAATCAAGTATAGTGGTAGATAGAACAAACACCACCGTTATCTATTCAACGTTGGAACGCAGTAATGCACTTAAGGTTTCAACAGAATTAAGAAAGCACGTGGAAATTATTTCAGCACTGCACACAATACAGATCCTTGTTACCTAGCCATTGTTTAAAATCGTGCCTTCGTTTTAGATGAAACACAGTTGCTTTTGGCTACAGAGTGGCATGTTCATAATAAAATGCAGACCCTGATATACTGAATAGAAAATAACATCTTTTGTTACTGACGACCACCTTAGCGCTCCAAATGCTTTGTGGAAGGATGTATGACGTTTTAAAACTGTGTGTAGGACATCAACGGTCAGGAAATAATGGAAATCTATAAACATGAACACACAATGCCATACAGAAAGTAAAAACAAACCAAAAAACAAAACAAAAACTCACACACAAAAAACAAAAAAAAACGAGAATCTTTACTGAGAAAGTGTTATCCCAAATATAACATTTGTAACAAATGTATAAACAATACATAAATTTAACTGACGGATAACTTAAAATCAGGATAACTGAATGGGGTTCTCTATATATCGGCTATGGCATATATCTTCAAGAAATAAAATCTATAGCCATGTGACCAGATCGGTATTTATGATGTTTATTGGTTGCACATGTACTTACGGAAGATAATGCAAGTGTTACCTTCTTGATAGCATATGAAGGCAGCAGTCATGTCAGAGCTACATCGACCGTCATTCCATCCCATTCTCTTGTCAGAAGGTTCCCTAATCCATCCCTTTTCCTTGTCAGACGGTTGCATGAAAACACAATCTTCCACACCGCGAGCATTGTTGGGTTCACCTGTTTTTAACGAAGGCATCTTGCAGCATTGTTAGTATTTAGGAGCATTTAGATTATGTTTGCTTACACTTTTCATAATCTATTATATATAATGGAATGCTGATTGAAATATACATTTGGTGAGAGCAATATCAGTTACGTTCAGTATATTTCTCAGAAACAAGACACCAACCGGTGTACATAAAAACATATAAATAATAAAAATATCAATATCAAAATGACAGGAGAATTGTGCAAATACATATAGGGATCTAAGGTTACAGTGAAATATGATAGAAATAAAGTAACAAGAATCCCACAACAGCTTCAACATATCTACAGATGGTATGGATGAATTTGGACAACTTTTTCATAGCTTTTACTCTAATGCTGGATGAAACATTTTTTTTAAATTTATACATATTAGGCCATTCAGAGAGATCTTTAGGTATGTACCTAGACCGCCACTGGAGAAGAGCTTCACATCTAAACAGGTAATGAAACACGTCACCAACCGCGGGAGAACTACATAGATTGCACAAACGTTCCACTCTAGGGATATCAGACCAGCGACCAGTTTCAATTGGTAAGTTATGGTTTTTGTTTCTAAATTGTAAGATTGGGTGAGAAACGTTTTTAGGCAGATAAAGGTATTTTTCAAAGGTTATATTTTCTTTAAACATTTTATAGTACACACCTTTAGAACTCTCAGTAATGGAACTGTGCCAATTCTGCAGGAACTGGTCTTTCAATATATCACATTAATGGGTTGTGGTAACGGGAGTCCACAGTTGTTTAATATCTTCTTTACAAGGTTGACCATGGACGTTTTTCAGAGATGCCAGCGTAGTTACGAGTGATACATTTATAAATAATATTTGTTTATTTTGGAGTTTGATTATAGATTGCTATTTTAGGCCAGAATAGAATAACACGTTTGTACATTTTGATATAGTGGGGTTCCCTTCCGAGCTCCCCATAAGTCATATAGTTTGGTGTCCCATTTCGAAGACCTGCTGCCAGTTTAAGAAATTTTAAGTGAACCTTTTCGATCAGTTTAATGTTTTCAAATGCCAAGATTTCACAACAGTACATTAGTGTCAAATGCGGATATTAAATAATCCAAAGGCAAATTAATATTACGTCACTGTTGTTTTATTAATGAGAACATAGCTTTTGTTGCATTTTCTACTAAGATTTTGATGGCTTCTACAAATCTCCCGTTTCTGTGAACCTTTATTCCAAGGTGAGTATAATTATCAACAATTTCTATAGTTTGATTGCCAAAGGTGAATGAGTATTTCAGATTGCTGGTTCTAGCAGGCCCGGTTCCAACAACTATTATCTTGGTTTTGGACAAGTTGACATTTAGTTTCCATCGTGAACAATAACTATGAAAATATTGTCAAGTGATTGTTGTAGGTCTGCAGGGTCTTCACTGAATAAGACAGCATCATCTGTATATAACAAAACAATAAACTGCACGCAACATATATAAGATTGGTTTTGCTTGGTAATCTAAATTAAAACCTTTACTTCCTCGTTTAGTTAAGAAGGGCTCAAGATCATTAATATAAAGTGAAATCAAAAGTGGCGAGAGATTTTCGCGATGCGAGATGCAACTGGCCCAAAGCGCTGCTGCCAAGTTGTCAGCCTCCCCTGTCTTAAGACTCAGAGTGAGTGAGTTGGAATAAACACTGATGTAAACATTATTATATCGGAATTATGATGTGGCCGCAACAAAATGACAGCAGGTACAAACATGTCAACATACCACTTTGCCAGTCTGTATAATCCATCGGAGACCCGTCAGTCCAGAGAAACGTACCCTCTTCTGCAGCGTCTGTTGCCCCAATTGCAATCCAATTTCTCGTAATATTCTCTGTAAACAATCATATGTTACATGAAACTGATTGATTTGGTTGGTTGGTTTGTTGTTTAACGCCGCACTCAGCAATAGTACAGCTATATGTCGGCGGTCTGTAAATAATCGAGTCTGGACCAGACAATCCAGTGATTGATATCATGAGCATCGATCCACGCACTGGGATACGATGACATGCATCGACCAAGTCAGCGAACCTGACCACCCGATTTCGTTAGTCGCCTCTTACGACAAGCATAGTCGCCTTTTACGGCAATTATGGGTTGCTGAAGACCTATTCTACCCTGGATCTTCACGGGTCGAAACTGATTGAAAAATACATACATTACACGTTCTAATAACATCAATTCAGATAGAAGACGCATTCAGTTTAATGTTGACTTCAAAACAGTACACTAACAGCATTCAGTATTGTGGCCAATTCGCTCAAAACTGATTCATTTGCTGCAGGGTGTAAGAAATGTCTTAAGGTTCGCAAAGTCACTGCTGTACAAACACCCCTGTAACTTACACGTACACATTGACTTGTCTTCCTCCTCAGGTCCTTGGTTAACGCTTTCGGTGTCCCCCGCCGTGATATTGCTGGCATATTGCTAAAAGCGGCGTAAAAGCATATTCACTCACTTCGCTCATTTGATCGCAACTCCCATACTTCAGCATAGGTTTACAATAGTCTTAGTGCTAAGATCGCTTTGTGCAAGTGGGCCCAGTCTGGAGGGATATACCCTGTATTGAATATCTGTCGGTATAATATGGTTTGCTATGAATAATCCATCATATCAACCTCCACATAATCTCCGTGTTTCACATGAAGGACACGTATCAAAATTCAAGTAGTCACACGGATAGGCAAATAAATCGTTCAACATTAATGTCAGCATTTAGAGACATCCCAAACTGGCTTGGAAGAGATCAAGCGATATCTACACTGTAGATATCGCTGCAATGAAATTGCATCACAATGCTTTGCAGACCATTGTGACGTCATTGGTTACCATGACGTCACAATCAAATGACATCACTAATGGCCCTGCTACTGAAGCTGTTAGCAGTACTTTTTACACTGAAGACACTGCTTATTACTTTCTGCAAACTGTTGGATGATAAATAAAATCTCACCCTCATGTCTTTTGATATCAAATATATCAACACTCGTTGATAAAAGTGGAAATAAATCCTCGGCAAGCCTCGGAGGTTTCCCACCTTTATCAACTCGTGTTGATATATTTGATATCAAAAGCCACTCGGGTGAGATTCTCTATATATGAAACTTTATATCTCGAGTAATTCAAAATGTCTGGACATATCTTCAGTATTTGACACAGAAAAACAGAAAAAGATAGTTATCACTTTTACCGTATACAAAGTCATTTTCAGCCTGGGAGTGGATACTGATGAGATCGGCTCCAATCGACAGACAACTTGCTCTGGCATCATCCCAAAACAGCCTGGAATCATTGTACAAATACCAGCCTCCTCTGACGTCGAAACTCGCCCAGTTCCCCGAATAAGAACTGACTGTAAAACAAAGAATTTCAAATCAAGTATAGTGGTAGATAGAACAAACACCACCGTTATCTATTCAACGTTGGAACGCAGTAATGCACTTAAGGTTTCAACAGAATTAAGAAAGCACGTGGAAATTATTTCAGCACTGCACACAATACAGATCCTTGTTACCTAGCCATTGTTTAAAATCGTGCCTTCGTTTTAGATGAAACACAGTTGCTTTTGGCTACAGAGTGGCATGTTCATAATAAAATGCAGACCCTGATATACTGAATAGAAAATAACATCTTTTGTTACTGACGACCACCTTAGCGCTCCAAATGCTTTGTGGAAGGATGTATGACGTTTTAAAACTGTGTGTAGGACATCAACGGTCAGGAAATAATGGAAATCTATAAACATGAACACACAATGCCATACAGAAAGTAAAAACAAACCAAAAAAAAAAACAAAAACTCACACACAAAAAACAAAAAAAAACGAGAATCTTTACTGAGAAAGTGTTATCCCAAATATAACATTTGTAACAAATGTATAAACAATACATAAATTTAACTGACGGATAACTTAAAATCAGGATAACTGAATGGGGTTCTCTATATATCGGCTATGGCATATATCTTCAAGAAATAAAATCTATAGCCATGTGACCAGATCGGTATTTATGATGTTTATTGGTTGCACATGTACTTACGGAAGATAATGCAAGTGTTACCTTCTTGATAGCATATGAAGGCAGCAGTCATGTCAGAGCTACATCGACCGTCATTCCATCCCATTCTCTTGTCAGAAGGTTCCCTAATCCATCCCTTTTCCTTGTCAGACGGTTGCATGAAAACACAATCTTCCACACCGCGAGCATTGTTGGGTTCACCTGTTTTTAACGAAGGCATCTTGCAGCATTGTTAGTATTTAGGAGCATTTAGATTATGTTTGCTTACACTTTTCATAATCTATTATATATAATGGAATGCTGATTGAAATATACATTTGGTGAGAGCAATATCAGTTACGTTCAGTATATTTCTCAGAAACAAGACACCAACCGGTGTACATAAAAACATATAAATAATAAAAATATCAATATCAAAATGACAGGAGAATTGTGCAAATACATATAGGGATCTAAGGTTACAGTGAAATATGATAGAAATAAAGTAACAAGAATCCCACAACAGCTTCAACATATCTACAGATGGTATGGATGAATTTGGACAACTTTTTCATAGCTTTTACTCTAATGCTGGATGAAACATTTTTTTTAAATTTATACATATTAGGCCATTCAGAGAGATCTTTAGGTATGTACCTAGACCGCCACTGGAGAAGAGCTTCACATCTAAACAGGTAATGAAACACGTCACCAACCGCGGGAGAACTACATAGATTGCACAAACGTTCCACTCTAGGGATATCAGACCAGCGACCAGTTTCAATTGGTAAGTTATGGTTTTTGTTTCTAAATTGTAAGATTGGGTGAGAAACGTTTTTAGGCAGATAAAGGTATTTTTCAAAGGTTATATTTTCTTTAAACATTTTATAGTACACACCTTTAGAACTCTCAGTAATGGAACTGTGCCAATTCTGCAGGAACTGGTCTTTCAATATATCACATTAATGGGTTGTGGTAACGGGAGTCCACAGTTGTTTAATATCTTCTTTACAAGGTTGACCATGGACGTTTTTCAGAGATGCCAGCGTAGTTACGAGTGATACATTTATAAATAATATTTGTTTATTTTGGAGTTTGATTATAGATTGCTATTTTAGGCCAGAATAGAATAACACGTTTGTACATTTTGATATAGTGGGGTTCCCTTCCGAGCTCCCCATAAGTCATATAGTTTGGTGTCCCATTTCGAAGACCTGCTGCCAGTTTAAGAAATTTTAAGTGAACCTTTTCGATCAGTTTAATGTTTTCAAATGCCAAGATTTCACAACAGTACATTAGTGTCAAATGCGGATATTAAATAATCCAAAGGCAAATTAATATTACGTCACTGTTGTTTTATTAATGAGAACATAGCTTTTGTTGCATTTTCTACTAAGATTTTGATGGCTTCTACAAATCTCCCGTTTCTGTGAACCTTTATTCCAAGGTGAGTATAATTATCAACAATTTCTATAGTTTGATTGCCAAAGGTGAATGAGTATTTCAGATTGCTGGTTCTAGCAGGCCCGGTTCCAACAACTATTATCTTGGTTTTGGACAAGTTGACATTTAGTTTCCATCGTGAACAATAACTATGAAAATATTGTCAAGTGATTGTTGTAGGTCTGCAGGGTCTTCACTGAATAAGACAGCATCATCTGTATATAACAAAACAATAAACTGCACGCAACATATATAAGATTGGTTTTGCTTGGTAATCTAAATTAAAACCTTTACTTCCTCGTTTAGTTAAGAAGGGCTCAAGATCATTAATATAAAGTGAAATCAAAAGTGGCGAGAGATTTTCGCGATGCGAGATGCAACTGGCCCAAAGCGCTGCTGCCAAGTTGTCAGCCTCCCCTGTCTTAAGACTCAGAGTGAGTGAGTTGGAATAAACACTGATGTAAACATTATTATATCGGAATTATGATGTGGCCGCAACAAAATGACAGCAGGTACAAACATGTCAACATACCACTTTGCCAGTCTGTATAATCCATCGGAGACCCGTCAGTCCAGAGAAATGTACCCTCTTCTGCAGCGTCTGTTGCCCCAATTGCAATCCAATTTCTCGTAATATTCTCTGTAAACAATCATATGTTACATGGAACTGATTGATTTGGTTGGTTGGTTTGTTGTTTAACGCCGCACTCAGCAATAGTACAGCTATATGTCGGCGGTCTGTAAATAATCGAGTCTGGACCAGACAATCCAGTGATTGATATCACGAGCATCGATCCACGCACTGGGATACGATGACATGCATCGACCAAGTCAGCGAACCTGACCACCCGATTTCGTTAGTCGCCTCTTACGACAAGCATAGTCGCCTTTTACGGCAATTATGGGTTGCTGAAGACCTATTCTACCCTGGATCTTCACGGGTCGAAACTGATTGAAAAATACATACATTACACGTTCTAATAACATCAATTCAGATAGAAGACGCATTCAGTTTAATGTTGACTTCAAAACAGTACACTAACAGCATTCAGTATTGTGGCCAATTCGCTCAAAACTGATTCATTTGCTGCAGGGTGTAAGAAATGTCTTAAGGTTCGCAAAGTCACTGCTGTACAAACACCCCTGTAACTTACACGTACACATTGACTTGTCTTCCTCCTCAGGTCCTTGGTTAACGCTTTCGGTGTCCCCCGCCGTGATATTGCTGGCATATTGCTAAAAGCGGCGTAAAAGCATATTCACGCACTTCGCTCATTTGATCGCAACTCCCATACTTCAGCATAGGTTTACAATAGTCTTAGTGCTAAGATCGCTTTGTGCAAGTGGGCCCAGTCTGGAGGGATATACCCTGTATTGAATATCTGTCGGTATAATATGGTTTGCTATGAATAATCCATCATATCAACCTCCACATAATCTCCGTGTTTCACATGAAGGACACGTATCAAAATTCAAGTAGTCACACGGATAGGCAAATAAATCGTTCAACATTAATGTCAGCATTTAGAGACATCCCAAACTGGCTTGGAAGAGATCAAGCGATATCTACACTGTAGATATCGCTGCAATGAAATTGCATCACAATGCTTTGCAGACCATTGTGACGTCATTGGTTACCATGACGTCACAATCAAATGACATCACTAATGGCCCTGCTACTGAAGCTGTTAGCAGTACTTTTTACACTGAAGACACTGCTTATTACTTTCTGCAAACTGTTGGATGATAAATAAAATCTCACCCTCATGTCTTTTGATATCAAATATATCAACACTCGTTGATAAAAGTGGAAATAAATCCTCGGCAAGCCTCGGAGGTTTCCCACTTTTATCAACTCGTGTTGATATATTTGATATCAAAAGCCACTCGGGTGAGATTCTCTATATATGAAACTTTATATCTCGAGTAATGCAAAATGTCTGGACATATCTTCAGTATTTGACACAGAAAAACAGAAAAAGATAGTTATCACTTTTACCGTATACAAAGTCATTTTCAGCCTGGGAGTGGATACTGATGAGATCGGCTCCAATCGACAGACAACTTGCTCTGGCATCATCCCAAAACAGCCTGGAATCATTGTACAAATACCAGCCTCCTCTGACGTCGAAACTCGCCCAGTTCCCCGAATAAGAACTGACTGTAAAACAAAGAATTTCAAATCAAGTATAGTGGCAGATAGAGCAAACAGCACCGTTATCTATTCAACGTTGGAACGCAGTAATGTACTTAAGGTTTCAACAGAACTAAGAAAGCACGTGGAAATTATTTCAGCCCTGCACACAATACAGATCCTTGTTACCTAGCCATTGTTTAAAATCGTGCCTTCGTTTTAGACGAAACACAGTTGCTTTTGGCTACAGAGTGGCATGTTCATGATAAAATTCAGACCCTGATATACTGAAGAGATATACCGTATTCGACGTGAACAATCCCAATTAGCACCCCTTCCGATTGATCAATGTACACAATACCTATTTATTCGTGTATAAAATGCACTCGTGTGTAATCTGCACATTGAATTATGGGCAATTAAATTCTGGAAAAATATATCTGTCGTATATAAATATTTCAGGCTGTCAGCATAAACCACGAAATTTATCTTTCAACTCTTTTTTTTTCACCAAAATAATATTCTAATAAGAGCCCCCTATTTCTAATTTTGAGATCGCTCTGGGCGCTTATTACGTCTAATACGGTAACATGTTTTGTAACTGGTTCATTACGGTAGTCATGGGACGCCCTTTTCAATTGCCCCTCTACATCATATAGCTGGAATATTGCCGAGTGCGACGTTAAACAAACAAACAAACAAACAACAACATCATATAACATGTGATCCAGTACTTCCGGCCAACCTAACTTAATGTCACATAGAAACATCAGACATCGGTAGTATCGTAGACATTTACAGGCGATCATAATGACCGTGTATTGTGAAGTTCGGAATATGTATATAATTTGTTCCAGAACATATTCGTGTTTTGGGTTTTCGATGTCCTGAAAACAAACAATGTATTCCGAAACAATACGTTCAGCTCGTTCTTTGTAAAACTGGGGCGGTCGGGTAACCTTGTGGTTAAAGCGTTCGCTCGTCACGCCGAAAACCCGCGGGTTCGATTCCCGACATGGGTACAATGTGTGAAGCCCGTGATATTGCTGGAATATTACTAAAAGCGGCGTAAAACCATACTCACTCACTCACTCACTCAACTTCACACCGTTATGGACCCACCCCAAAACGTTCACCACTGAAGCCTCTACATAAAATGACGTGCAGTAAGTTTCGGGACGACACGTGGTCGTTGTGCATGCAAATGCCATCTGTGCTAACGACTTCGTCTCGGCATGTAGTCTCACACTAGTTGCCTGTGCAGCCGGTCCCTTCTCTCAGTAGGAGTTTACACCTGATTACTTAATACCATCGTTCTGACTGATCTGCCCGGGGCTGGAGTTGCTTCCCTTGGGCATCCAGAGTGGCGTCAAATCATCGACGTTACGTGTTTGTTGGTATCGGCCTCCAATGTGCTGATGACAGATTGATACACATGCACCGTTTGGGCAACAATCTTCTGACGTGTGCCCACCTGCAACATGCCTATAGCACGAAAACGTCCAGTATGTTGCAAACGTCGCATGATCCATGCTGTTGCTTTCTTAATGGTGAAATGTGTTCAAAAAAGTGTCTATGGTAAGTGACATTGGTAAATCTGGCATATCACTCCTTGCACGTGCTGTCCGAGGGCACGTGCTTCATGACTGTCACAGTGTTGTGTTTGGGAGCTTGATATTTTCGGAAATGTGTTTGCCACATCAATCACTAACATTGCACATGTACTTTCATTGTCAGACGGGGCGATCAGGCAGCCTAGTGGTTAAAGCGTTCGCTCGTCACGCCGAAGACCCGGGTTCGATTTCCGACATGGGTACAATTTGTGAAGCCTATTTTGGTGTCCCCAGCCGTGATGTTGCTGGAATATTGCTAAAAGCGGCGTAAAACCATACTCACTCACTCACTCACTCACTCACTCACTATCAGGCGCCAGAATATGGAGGCATCAGCCACTACGACTATTACAAAAGTTTTGCCGCAAGAGTGGCGGCATACGTCGACCCCCCTACTCCCATTAACTGGGGTCATCGAGACACGACTTGTGCACCCCCGCCAAGAAGGCTTAATCTTGCCATATCTTCGACAGCGTCACTCACATGACGGACACACGCCCCTACAGTTCCCAACAACATTGGCACCTCAGTCAAACTTTCCAAACGTCTTATGGTAGACATGTGGAGAACACTTCCAAATGTGATGCATCAGTGACACAACTTATGTCCGATGCAATTCCCTATGTTGACTTGTACCATATGTTGCCGTGTTTTTTTCAGGTGGACAATTGACTTGCCTTTGTGTGTGTTTGTGACGGATGCTACCGATGGGGCAGGATACGCTCACCTTTTCGCGAACACTCTCATAAACACTTGCTCATGATATGGTCAGAATCGTACATTCGACTCTGTTTTTGGCAGAGATGTCCTTACTGATGCAGCAACAAGTGTGGGATTTGATGGTTTTCGCAGCGTTAGTCAGAAGTCGAGAAACTGCCCAAGAAACCCTCGGTAAGATTCTTGGAGTTGCAATCTCTGTAGTAGCTATTCTTTAGGGGAGACCTTCTTCAACCAGAATTCTATGAAAGGCTTACAGACTCTACTTCGAGGATACAAACGAGTTTTGTCACCTTCTACCAAAACTCGACAACCAATCACAGTATCCCGAGTTAGCTCATTAAACTGCTGAGGTCAGGAGTATTTGGTGCTTTCTATGACCTTACATGAATTCTTCGGATTCTTAAGCTGTGGTGAAAATAATATTCACTTGTATAGCTGCTTTCGAACCGGAAATCAACCTGTGTGTGCAAGATATAAACCTTGATTTGCACAGACAACGCTGCATCTTGAACCTCAAAGCTTCCATGACAGATCCCTTCCGCCGTGGCGTAACTTTCTCCTTGCCCAGTGCAGTGTCTGAGGAAATACCTTTGTGCAAGGAAAGTGTGTGGTTATCTCCCTTTGGATCCTCTGTTTGGTGCTGGTACCAAGTGTCCAGTCAAGTGTAGTTACGTCATGGCTAATTCCACTGATTACTGGGGGCACGGGTGGCCCAGTCGTCTACGGCGCCGCGATTCGCTGTGCAGAATTGCGTCCCTTTGGCAGGCCAGAAACCTATGATTGTGGGTTCGAATCCCGGTTCGCCCTGATTATGTTTCTAGGTTTGTCAGCACCATACCCGTGCTCGTGGGTTTCACCAAAGTGGTAAACGTCTGAGACCTGCATCACTTCGGGCTTTCCTCCCACATTTAGCTGACACGCCGTGATATAACTGGAATAATGTTAAAAGCGGCGTTAAACCCAACTCAGTCAGTCAGTCCACTGATTACTAAGCTCGGTCTGTGTCCTGCCAATTTTTCCGGGCATTTGATCAGAATAGGTGCCGCTACCACAGCTGCCAAAGTTAGAGTCAAGATCATCGGCAGAGGGCAATCTGACGGCTCCACCAAGTACATATACATTCGTACTCCAGTGGTCGTGATCAAGGTCTCAGGTCTCTCCGTGTGTGTGTTGTAGGTAACAGGTGTGTTCTTGAATAGATACTCCGTGACAAACTACTATATTACAGGCCTAATCCGGGTCAAGACGACACCAGGACAGCATTTTCATCTAGGTCCGGGTCTACGACCCCAGGATATTTCAGCTACCATTGACTACCCCAGGACATAAACCTTCCGTCCGGGACAGGATGGCCCAAGGATCCAATCAATTGTGCAACCGAGTCAGTTCCAAATTTTAAATTTACATGCCAAATAAATGTAATAAAAATGTCTATTTTTATATTTCAAGCTTATGTTGTTGATGCAAACTAAATTTTACGCGTCAAATAGCAGATGTTCGTGATGCAAAGCCCTGCTCATTTCACCAACTAAATTTCACGCTCACTACCTGAGAATGTTCAAGGTGTATAGCAGTTGTAACAATCACAACCAACGACAATGTGGCCTGTGTGGAAAGATACACGTGAATTCTGTAATTCATTAACAATTAGGTTGATACATCAAAACGGTTGACTCAAACCGGCTGGGACTGCCAGTTTGTCCGAGTTTGGTCCCCCTTTAAATAATTTTACCGTTGTCTGGGAAACAACTGTTAGCTGAAGTAAGACGAGTTCTATGGATGAACAACTTCTTTATTACAATTGGTGCGACGTTTCGGTGTAGATCCTAACACCTTTATCAAGCAAGTGATGGATAGGGCTAAACAACATAGGTATATATACACTTATTGACATCTAAGTTGTTACAGTGACTAGATGATGGACACAGAGAGGTGATTAAGCTAATTGGAAGCCAGTGGATGACTAATGAACACAGAGTATACTAGCAGAGTAAACAAGCGTACTGATGGAGATGATGGAAGCCACTGTATTAATTGGATGGACAAAGGGAACTAGCAATTAGGTGATGGTAAGCAGGCGGGATGTCAATAAGTGTATATATACCTATGTTGTTTAGCCATATCCATCACTTGCTTGATAAAGGTGTTAGGATCTACACCGAAACGTCGCACTAATTGTAATAAAGAAGTAGTTCATCCATAGAGCTCGTCTTACTTCATCACTCCAACTTCTAAATGCCACTCAAAGAAACTGTTAGCTGGACATGTGAACATGTATTTTATTATGTGTACTGAGTTACCTTTACCATGAATAGGGACACAAACTATATGTTCTTATTCTACTTGTTTTACCTTTTAGTTTACGTCTGATATCCTCACAGAGTACGTTGTAATAAAGGACAAGGAAGTATTTTCTAATTTAAGATGGAACTAAACCTACAAGCTTTAAAAGAATATAGTGTTTCTAGTGCTGAGATGTCGCAGTCGAGTCGCTAAGTGAGGTGAGGTGAAATTGGGTTTAACGTGGCGTCCAAAGTTTTTGCACTTATATAGCGACGGGCATGCACGTGTGTGCGTGTGTGTGTGTGTGTGTGTGTGGCTGCTTTTACTTGTCCGGACTGATGCCGATTTATAGTGCTAGCACACTGAGATCATGCCGCAGTTTAACATGAATACCCAACTCAGACACAGTATACTGACTCCGAGCCGACCAGTCCTTGTCTTAGCCCCGTAATGCCCAGCGGAGCCGGTCTCGTGTCGCTAAGTGAGTGAGTGAGTTTGATTATACCCCGCTTTTAGCTATATTCCAGCAATATCACGGCGGGGGACGACAGAAATGGGCTTCACACATTGTACCCATGTCGGGAATCGAACCCAGGTCTTCGGCATGACGAGCGAACGCTTTAACCACTAGGCTACCCGACCGCCCCCGAGTCACTAAGACTGATATGTTAAAGAAGGCTTGTATATTTCATGATGTAAGCGAATAGGTCACGGTAAAGAACACTTACCTCCAATCCAAATGAAAATGATCGCTACTCCCACAGGGTAAGCATGCTTCAAGTTCATTTTCAACTGTCAGTACTTTTCCCGGTTGAGCACTATATTTATACAGAGACACGTCCAATCAGATGAGTTCGGTATTTCGTTACATGTCACGATGCTAGACTGTTCCGTTTCTGTTTGCAGCCATGTAATGATGGTACACGATATGAGGAAATAGCTGGTGAAATTATCAAACGCATGATTAATAAATCAACTTGATGAGGAAAACTTCAGAGACACGAATCAAAAGGAGTTAAATCTAAATATCATCATATGCTTTCCTCACGTTACACGTTCCCTAATATCAATAACTGGTTTGATTTTTTCTTTACTTTCGCCATGAGCTAGCATTGTACACAGTTTTGGGTGACGTGACGATATAAGGTTGAAATATTGCCAATACGATGTAAACTTTTAACCCGCTTTTAATATATATTCAGCGTCCATATGCGTTTGACATCAATATCAATCACGGCCCTTTTCTCGCCTGTTCGCCGCCATCCCTTCAGAACAACATATAGATTTGACTGAAGCATGAGAGTTGTGTATTTATGGAGCAATCTGTTTCTCTGTAGAAGTACATCCTTTATGATTAATTATTGACCCGTGAAGATCCGGGGTAGAATTGGTCTTCAGCAAACCATACCTGCCGTAAAAGGCGACTCTGCTTGTTATAAGCTGCGACTAACGGTATCGGGTGGTCAAGCTCACTGACTTGGTTCATGCATGCCAACGTATCCCAATTGCGTGCATCGATGCTCATGATGTCAATCACTGACTCGATTATTTACAGACCGCCGTCATATAGCTGGAATATTGCTCAGTGCGGCGTTAAACATCAAACAAGCAACAAGCAAGGGATTAATTAGGTTTTAATGTCATTCCAAGTGGACATAGTTACCTTTGATGATCAGAACTGATGCAAACTGATGATCACTGTATGTTATTTACGGCTGATACAAGTCACAAAAAATAACTTACGCACGCAATTTTGTACATATATCATTATTAGAATGAACGTTTAATTCACACGTATTAATTCATTATAATATATGTACTACGGTTGTGCTATATTTACAAAAATACAAACTGTTTTGATTCTAATTTAACTACACATGAATGGTGCCACATATATTAGTACTGTTCACCATCCGTGAATGGGTACCCGGTAGGATGAGATGGTAACGTGACTGTCAGGCAGCCACATCAGGCAGCTTGGGTTGTATACCCCGCAGGGCTTAGAATGAATCGAGGTCCATTGATCGGGGTAATAATGTAACACTATGGGCATGCTTTATTGTGGGCTTGGCGCATTATATATGTACTCATACTGTTGAGAGGTGAGGTGTGTGGCTGTACTAGTCCGAACTGATGCCGATTTATAGTGCTAGCACACTGAGATACCATGCCGCAGTTTAACATGAATACCCAACTCAGACACAGTATACTGACTCCGAGCCGACCAGTCCTTGTTTTAGCCCCTTTATTCCGAGCGCCAGACGGGGTAACAACAAGTTCCATCTTTTAACGTCTTTTGGTATGACGCGGCTGGTGATCGAACCCCGGACCTTCCGCTCTCCGGGCGGACACTCTACCACATGACCACGGAGGCGGTATCAAGTAACTAAAAAAAGTGACAATAGTTTCAATGACCATTGGCTGTAGTCAGCACAAACTGACACCTCTGTATTGTAGTACCCGACAGCGACACCATAACAACACACACACCATGCTTTGCTGATCAGGGGAGGTTAAACAACGTTGGCGGCGGAGAGAAGCTGGATGGGTGAGTGTTCTCAGGAAGACTTGACTCGGAAAAAAGCCGTGGAGTGACGATGCCTCTTTTCACCCAGCGGCATGTGGGTACCCGGTATGAAGGGATCGTAGATGATGTATTATGAAATGAAAAATATACAAATATTGTTTTTGTTCAAAACATATTCTTAAGCAATCAATCACTTGGCAGATTCTTCCAAGTCACGTGAGTTGAATTTGGTCTGACTTACATTATTTGCCTTCCTTAAAACAGACAACGAAAGGCCATTCAGCCAGATGCATGTCGTATTTATTGTTTATATTTCAATAGAGACATTCCTATAATTCCAAGTGCAGAAGGGGGCACGGGTGGCCCAGTCGTCTAAGGCGCCGCGATTCGTTGTGCAGAGTTGCGTCCCTTTGGCAGGCCAGAAATCTATGATTGTGGGTTCGAATCCCGGTTCGCCCCAATTATGTTTCTAGGTTTGTCAGCACCATACCCGTGCTCGTGGGTTTCACCGAAGTGGTAAACGTCTGTGACCTGCATCACTTCGGGCTTTCCTCCCACATTAAGCTGACACGCCGCGATATAACTGGAATACTGTTAAAAGCGGCGTTAAACCCAACTCACTCACTCCAAGTGCAGACTAACTGTTGTTAATTTGTTTGTTGTTTAACGCCGAACTCAGCAATATTCCAAATATATGACGGCGGTCTGTAGTTAATCGAGTCTGGACCAGACAAGCCAGTGATTGATATCATGAGCATCGATCCACGCACTGGGATACGATAACATGCATCAACCAAGTCAGCGAACCTGACCACCCGACCCCGTTAGTGGCGTGACGAGCAAACGCTTTAACCACTAGGCTACCCCACCTTCCCCGTTCACATAGCAGCATTGACGATAGGTCTAAATCAAGGTTTTATGGTACTTACCCCATACCAGGTCATGGAAGTGAAAATGTGTGCGTAGCCTCGGTGTTAGCTTGTGTTGTTGTGTTCAATAGATATAGAGTTATATAAGCTGCGAGAAAGGGTTTGTGCTCAAAGATGTAACGCAGGGATGAAATACACAGTGCTACTAAAGTTCATGAAAAGTAAGAAACATTCACGCACATCACGCATCATACAGTCCACATACAAGCTGCTGTCATGTGTCCACGGAGACTGTTTCAACCATGCTGCTACCGGTAATATAGCATGAGTGAGTGAGTGAGTATAGTTTTACGCCGCTTTTAGCAATATTCCATCAATATCACGGCGGGGCACACCAGAAATGGGCTTCACACATTGTACCCATGTCGGGAATCGAACCCGGGTCTTCGGCGTGACGAACGCTTTAACCACTAGACTACCCGACCGCCCCTAATATAGCATGACGCGTCATCAGTGGATATACCACACACGTACACACTATGGCGTTATCATTAAAGTGACGTCATCAGGAAGCGCCCGATGTAAATGAACCAAACCCTGTGGTCAACGTCTAGTTAATGCATGTAGAAAACGATATCAACAATATGATAACTTCTAGATTATCTTGACTAATGGAAAACATCAAGATAATCTTGACTAATAACGTCGAGATCATCTTGATTGATAATACCAACATAATCTGGGCTGGTGGATATTTTCTAAAGATTCCTAGTTTAGGGACACATTCGACATAATCGACAGGGCCCCGTTCCACAAAAGCGATCGTAGCGCTAAGACAGTCCAAGCCAGTTTTAAAGTATGGGACTGACGACCACCTTAGCACTACAAATGCTTTGTGGAACGATGTATGACGTTTTAATACTGTGCGTAGGACATCAACGGTCAGGTACTAATGGAAATATATAAACAAGAACACACAATGCCATATAGAAAGTGGTCAAATGTAACACATATTTGAGATGACATCTTCTCAGTAAAGTACAGATTCTCGTACCGAGAATCTTTACTGAGAAAGTGTTATCCCAAATATAACATTTGTAACAAATGTATAAACAATACATAAATTTAACTGACGGATAACTTAAAATCAGGATAACTGAATGGGGTTCTCTATATATCGGCTATGGCATATATCTTCAAGAAATAAAATCTATAGCCATGTGACCAGATCGGTATTTATGATGTTTATTGGTTGCACATGTACTTACGGAAGATAATGCAAGTGTTACCTTCTTGATAGCATATAAAGGCAGCAGTCATGTCAGAGCTACATAGACCGTCATTCCAACCCATTCTCTTGTCAGAAGGTTCCCTATTCCATCCCTTTTCCTCGTCAGACGGTTGCATGAAAACACAATCTTCCACACCGTGATTATTGTTGGGTTCACCTGTTAAAATTAACGAAGGCATCTTGCAGCATTGTTAGTATTTAGGAGCATTTAGATTATGTTTGCTTACACTTTTCATAATCTATTATATATAATGGAATGCTGATTGAAATATACATTTGGTGAGAGCAATATCAGTTACGTTCAGTATATTTCTCAGAAACAAGACACCAACCGGTGGTACATAAAAAATATATAAATAATAAAAATATCAATATCAAAATGACAGGAGAATTGTGCAAATACATATAGGGATCTAAGGTTACAGTGAAATATGATAGAAATAAAGTAACAAGAATCCCACAACAGCTTCAACATTTCTACAGATGGTATGGATGAATTTGGACAACTTTTTCATATCTTTTACTCTAATGCTGGATGAAACATTTTTTTTAAATTTATACATATTAGGCCATTCAGAGAGATCTTTAGGTATGTACCTAGACCGCCACTGGAGAAGAGCTTCACATCTAAACAGGTAATGAAACACGTCACCAACCGCGGGAGAACTACATAGATTGCACAAACGTTCCACTCTAGGGATATCAGACCAGCGACCAGTTTCAATTGGTAAGTTATGGTTTTTGTTTCTAAATTGTAAGATTGGGTGAGAAACGTTTTAGGGCAGATAAAGGTATTTTTCAAAGGTTATATTTTCTTTAAACATTTTATAGTACACACCTTTAGAACTCTCCGTAATGGAACTGTGCCAATTCTGCAGGAACTGGTCTTTCAATATATCACATTAATGGGTTGTGGTAACGGGAGTCCACAGTTGTTTAATATCTTCTTTACAAGGTTGACCATGGACGTTTTTCAGAGATGCCAGCGTAGTTACGAGTGATACATTTATAAATAATATTTGTTAATTTTGGAGTTTGATTATAGATTGCTATTTTAGGCCAGAATAGAATAACACGTTTGTACATTTTGATATAGTGGGGTTCCCTTCCGAGCTCCCCATAAGTCATATAGTTTGGTGTCCCATTTCGAAGACCTGCTGCCAGTTTAAGAAATTTTAAGTGAACCTTTTCGATCAGTTTAATGTTTTCAAATGCCAAGATTTCACAACAGTACATTAGTGTCAAATGCGGATATTAAATAATCCAAAGGCAAAATAATATTACGTCACTGTTGTTTTATTAATGAGAACATAGCTTTTGTTGCATTTTCTACTAAGATTTTGATGGCTTCTACAAATCTCCCGTTTCTGTGAACCTTTATTCCAAGGTGAGTATAATTATCAACAATTTCTATAGTTTGATTGCCAAAGGTGAATGAGTATTTCAGATTGCTGGTTCTAGCAGGCCCGGTTCCAACAACTATTATCTTGGTTTTGGACAAGTTGACATTTAGTTTCCATCGTGAACAATAACTATGAAAATATTGTCAAGTGATTGTTGTAGGTCTGCAGGGTCTTCACTGAATAAGACAGCATCATCTGTATATAACAAAACAATAAACTGCACGCAACATATATAAGATTGGTTTTGCTTTGGTAATCTAAATTAAAACCTTTACTTCCTCGTTTAATTAAGAAGGGCTCAAGATCATTAATATAAAGTGAAATCAAAAGTGGCGAGAGATTTTCGCGATGCGAGATGCAACTGGCCCAAAGCGCTGCTGCCAAGTTGTCAGCCTCCCCTGTCTTAAGACTCAGAGTGAGTGAGTTGGAATAAACACTGATGTAAACATTATTATATCTGAATTATGATGTGGCCGCAACAAATTGACAGCAGGTACAAACATGTCAACATACCTCTTTGCCAGTTTGTATAATCCATCGGAGACCCGTCAGTCCAGAGAAACGTACCCTCTTCTGCAGCGTCTGTTGCCCCAATTGCAATCCAATTTCTCGTAATATTCTCTGTAAACAATCATATGTTACATGAAACTGATTGATTTGGTTGATTGGTTTGTTGTTTAACGCCGCACTCAGCAATAGTACAGCTATATGTCGGCGGTCTGTAAATAATCGAGTCTGGACCAGACAATCCAGTAATTGATATCACGAGCATCGATCCACGCACTGGGATACGATGACATGCATCGACCAAGTCAGCGAACCTGACCACCCGATTTCGTTAGTCGCCTCTTACGACAAGCATAGTCGCCTTTTACGGCAATTATCGGTTGCTGAAGACCTATTCTACCCTGGATCTTCACGGGTCGAAACTGATTGAAAAATACATACATTACACGTTCTAATAACATCAATTCAGATAGAAGACGCATTCAGTTTAATGTTGACTTCAAAACAGTACACTAACAGCATTCAGTATTGTGGCCAATTCGCTCAAAACTGATTCATTTGCTGCAGGGTGTAAGAAATGTCTTAAGGTTCGCAAAGTCACTGCTGTACAAACACCCCTGTAACTTACACGTACACATTGACTTGTCTTCCTCCTCAGGTCCTTGGTTAACGCTTTCGGTGTCCCCCGCCGTGATATTGCTGGCATATTGCTAAAAGCGGCGTAAAAGCATATTCACTCACTTCGCTCATTTGATCGCAACTCCCATACTTCAGCATAGGTTTACAATAGTCTTAGCGCTAAGATCGCTTTGTGCAAGTGGGCCCAGTCTGGAGGAATATACCCTGTATTGAATATCTGTCGGTTAATATGGTTTGCTATGAATAATCCATCATATCAACCTCCACATAATCTCCGTGTTTCACATGAAGGACACGTATCAAAATTCAAGTAGTCACACGGATAGGCAAATAAATCGTTCAACATTAATGTCAGCATTTAGAGACATCCAAAACTGGCTTGGAAGAGATCTACACTGTAGATATCGCTGCAATGAAATTGCATCACAATGCTTTGCAGACCATTGTGACGTCATTGGTTACCATGACGTCACAATCAAATGACATCACTAATGGCCCTGCTACTGAAGCTGTTAGCAGTACTTTTTACACTGAAGACACTGCTTATTACTTTCTGCAAACTGTTGGATGATAAATAAAATCTCACCCTCATGTCTTTTGATATCAAATATATCAACACTCGTTGATAAAAGTGGAAATAAATCCTCGGCAAGCCTCGGAGGTTTCCCACTTTTATCAACTCGTGTTGATATATTTGATATCAAAAGCCACTCGGGTGAGATTCTCTATATATGAAACTTTATATCTCGAGTAATGCAAAATGTCTGGACATATCTTCAGTATTTGACACAGAAAAACAGAAAAAGATAGTTATCACTTTTACCGTATACAAAGTCATTTTCAGCCTGGGAGTGGATACTGATGAGATCGGCTCCAATCGACAGACAACTTGCTCTGGCATCATCCCAAAACAGCCTGGAATCATTGTACAAATACCAGCCTCCTCTGACGTCGAAACTCGCCCAGTTCCCCGAATAAGAACTGACTGTAAAACAAAGAATTTCAAATCAAGTATAGTGGTAGATAGAACAAACACCACCGTTATCTATTCAACGTTGGAACGCAGTAATGCACTTAAGGTTTCAACAGAATTAAGAAAGCACGTGGAAATTATTTCAGCACTGCACACAATACAGATCCTTGTTACCTAGCCATTGTTTAAAATCGTGCCTTTGTTTTAGATGAAACACAGTTGCTTTTGGCTACAGAGTGGCATGTTCATAATAAAATGCAGACCCTGATATACTGAATAGAAAATAACATCTTTTGTTACTGACGACCACCTTAGCGCTCCAAATGCTTTGTGGAAGGATGTATGACGTTTTAAAACTGTGTGTAGGACATCAACGGTCAGTAAATAATGGAAATCTATAAACATGAACACACAATGCCATACAGAAAGTAAAAACAAACCAAAAAACAAAACAAAAACTCACACACAAAAAACAAAAAAAACCGAGAATCTTTACTGAGAAAGTGTTATCCCAAATATAACATTTGTAACAAATGTATAAACAATACATAAATTTAACTGACGGATAACTTAAAATCAGGATAACTGAATGGGGTTCTCTATATATCGGCTATGGCATATATCTTCAAGAAATAAAATCTATAGCCATGTGACCAGATCGGTATTTATGATGTTTATTGGTTGCACATGTACTTACGGAAGATAATGCAAGTGTTACATTCTTGATAGCATATGAAGGCAGCAGTCATGTCAGAGCTACATGGACCGTCATTCCATCCCATTCTCTTGTCAGAAGGTTCCCTATTCCATCCCTTTTCCTTGTCAGACGGTTGCATGAAAACACAATCTTCCACACCGTGAGCATTGTTGGGTTCACCTGTTAAAATTAACGAAGGCATCTTGCAGCATTGTTAGTATTTAGGAGCATTTAGATTATGTTTGCTTACACTTTTCATAATCTATTATATATAATGGAATGCTGATTGAAATATACATTTGGTGAGAGCAATATCAGTTACGTTCAGTATATTTCTCAGAAACAAGACACCAACGGTGGTACATAAAAATATATAAATAATAAAAATATCAATATCAAAATGACAGGAGAATTGTGCAAATACATATAGGGATCTAAGGTTACAGTGAAATATGATAGAAATAAAGTAACAAGAATCCCACAACAGCTTCAACATATCTACAGATGGTATGGATGAATTTGGACAACTTTTTCATATCTTTTACTCTAATGCTGGATGAAACATTTTTTTTAAATTTATACATATTAGGCCATTCAGAGAGATCTTTAGGTATGTACCTAGACCGCCACTGGAGAAGAGCTTCACATCTAAACAGGTAATGAAACACGTCACCAACCGCGGGAGAACTACATAGATTGCACAAACGTTCCACTCTAGGGATATCAGACCAGCGACCAGTTTCAATTGGTAAGTTATGGTTTTTGTTTCTAAATTGTAAGATTGGGTGAGAAACGTTTTTAGGGCAGATAAAGGTATTTTTCAAAGGTTATATTTTCTTTAAACATTTTATAGTACACACCTTTAGAACTCTCCGTAATGGAACTGTGCCAATTCTGCAGGAACTGGTCTTTCAATATATCACATTAATGGGTTGTGGTAACGGGAGTCCACAGTTGTTTAATATCTTCTTTACAAGGTTGACCATGGACGTTTTTCAGAGATGCCAGCGTAGTTACGAGTGATACATTTATAAATAATATTTGTTAATTTTAGAGTTTGATTATAGATTGCTATTTTAGGCCAGAATAGAATAACACGTTTGTACATTTTGATATAGTGGGGTTCCCTTCCGAGCTCCCCATAAGTCATATAGTTTGGTGTCCCATTTCGAAGACCTGCTGCCAGTTTAAGAAATTTTAAGTGAACCTTTTCGATCAGTTTAATGTTTTCAAATGCCAAGATTTCACAACAGTACATTAGTGTCAAATGCGGATATTAAATAATCCAAAGGCAAATTAATATTACGTCACTGTTGTTTTATTAATGAGAACATAGCTTTTGTTGCATTTTCTACTAAGATTTTGATGGCTTCTACAAATCTCCCGTTTCTGTGAACCTTTATTCCAAGGTGAGTATAATTATCAACAATTTCTATAGTTTGATTGCCAAAGGTGAATGAGTATTTCAGATTGCTGGTTCTAGCAGGCCCGGTTCCAACAACTATTATCTTGGTTTTGGACAAGTTGACATTTAGTTTCCATCGTGAACAATAACTATGAAAATATTGTCAAGTGATTGTTGTAGGTCTGCAGGGTCTTCACTGAATAAGACAGCATCATCTGTATATAACAAAACAATAAACTGCACGCAACATATATAAGATTGGTTTTGCTCGGTAATCTAAATTAAAACCTTTACTTCCTCGTTTAATTAAGAAGGGCTCAAGATCATTAATATAAAGTGAAATCAAAAGTGGCAAGAGATTTTCGCGATGCGAGATGCAACTGGCCCAAAGCGCTGCTGCCAAGTTGTCAGCCTCCCCTGTCTTAAGACTCAGAGTGAGTGAGTTGGATTAAACACTGATGTAAACATTATTATATCTGAATTATGATGTGGCCGCAACAAAATGACAGCAGGTACAAACATGTCAACATACCACTTTGCCAGTCTGTATAATCCATCGGAGACCCGTCAGTCCAGAGAAACGTACCCTCTTCTGCAGCGTCTGTTGCCCCAATTGCAATCCAATTTCTCGTAATATTCTCTGTAAACAATCATATGTTACATGAAACTGATTGATTTGGTTGGTTGGTTTGTTGTTTAACGCCGCACTCAGCAATAGTACAGCTATATGTCGGCGGTCTGTAAATAATCGAGTCTGGACCAGACAATCCAGTGATTGATATCATGAGCATCGATCCACGCACTGGGATACGATGACATGCATCGACCAAGTCAGCGAACCTGACCACCCGATTTCGTTAGTCGCCTCTTACGACAAGCGTAGTCGCCTTTTACGGCAATTATGGGTTGCTGAAGACCTATTCTACCCTGGATCTTCACGGGTCGAAACTGATTGAAAAATACATACATTACACGTTCTAATAACATCAATTCAGATAGAAGACGCATTCAGTTTAATGTTGACTTCAAAACAGTACACTAACAGCATTCAGTATTGTGGCCAATTCGCTCAAAACTGATTCATTTGCTGCAGGGTGTAAGAAATGTCTTAAGGTTCGCAAAGTCACTGCTGTACAAACACCCCTGTAACTTACACGTACACATTGACTTGTCTTCCTCCTCAGGTCCTTGGTTAACGCTTTCGGTGTCCCCCGCCGTGATATTGCTGGCATATTGCTAAAAGCGGCGTAAAAGCATATTCACTCACTTGATCGCAACTCCCATACTTCAGCATAGGTTTACAATAGTCTTAGCGCTAAGATCGCTTTGTGCAAGTGGGCCCCGTCTGGAGGGATATACCCTGTATTGAATATCTGTCGGTATAATATGGTTTGCTATGAATAATCCATCATATCAACCTCCACATAATCTCCGTGTTTCACATGAAGGACACGTATCAAAATTCAAGTAGTCACACGGATAGGCAAATAAATCGTTCAACATTAATGTCAGCATTTAGAGACATCCCAAACTGGCTTGGAAGAGATCAAGCGATATCTACACTGTAGATATCGCTGCAATGAAATTGCATCACAATGCTTTGCAGACCATTGTGACGTCATTGGTTACCATGACGTCACAATCAAATGACATCACTAATGGCCCTGCTACTGAAGCTGTTAGCAGTACTTTTTACACTGAAGACACTGCTTATTACTTTCTGCAAACTGTTGGATGATAAATAAAATCTCACCCTCATGTCTTTTGATATCAAATATATCAACACTCGTTGATAAAAGTGGAAATAAATCCTCGGCAAGCCTCGGAGGTTTCCCACTTTTATCAACTCGTGTTGATATATTTGATATCAAAAGCCACTCGGGTGAGATTCTCTATATATGAAACTTTATATCTCGAGTAATGCAAAATGTCTGGACATATCTTCAGTATTTGACACAGAAAAACAGAAAAAGATAGTTATCACTTTTACCGTATACAAAGTCATTTTCAGCCTGGGAGTGGATACTGATGAGATCGGCTCCAATCGACAGACAGCTTGCTCTGGCATCATCCCAAAACAGCCTGGAATCATTGTACAAATACCAGCCTCCTCTGACGTCGAAACTCGCCCAGTTCCCCGAATAAGAACTGACTGTAAAACAAAGAATTTCAAATCAAGTATAGTGGCAGATAGAGCAAACAGCACCGTTATCTATTCAACGTTGGAACGCAGTAATGTACTTAAGGTTTCAAAAAAACTAAGAAAGCACGTGGAAATTATTTCAGCCCTGCACACAATACAGATCCTTGTTACCTAGCCATTGTTTAAAATCGTGCCTTCGTTTTAGACGAAACACAGTTGCTTTTGGCTACAGAGTGGCATGTTCATGATAAAATTCAGACCCTGATATACTGAAGAGATATACCGTATTCGACGTGAACAATCCCAATTAGCACCCCTTCCGATTGATCAATGTACACAAGACCTATTTATTCGTGTATAAAATGCACTCGTGTGTAATCTGCACCTTGAATTATGGGCAATTAAATTCTGGAAAAATATATCTGTCGTATATAAATATTTCAGGCTGTCAGCATAAACCACGAAATTTATCTTTCAACTCTTTTTTTTCACCAAAATAATATTCTAATAAGAGCCCCCTATTTCTAATTTTGAGATCGCTCTGGGCGCTTATTACGTCTAATACGGTAACATGTTTTGTAACTGGTCCATTACGGTAGTCATGGGACGCCCTTTTCAATTGCCCCTCTACATCATATAGCTGGAATATTGCCGAGTGCGACGTTAAACAAACAAACAAACAAACAACAACATCATATAACATGTGATCCAGTACTTCCGGCCAACCTAACTTAATGTCACATAGAAACATCAGACATCGGTAGTATCGTAGACATTTACAGGCGATCATAATGACCGTGTATTGTGAAGTTCGGAATATGTATATAATTTGTTCCAGAACATATTCGTGTTTTGGGTTTTAACAAAATAAATACTAATTTTCCTAAGAAGATGACTGATGCCCTGAAAACAAACAATGTATTCCGAAACAATACGTTCAGCTCGTTCTTTGTAAAACTGGGGCGGTCGGGTAACCTTGTGGTTAAAGCGTTCGCTCGTCACGCCGAAAACCCGCGGGTTCGATTCCCGACATGGGTACAATGTGTGAAGCCCATTTGTGGTGTCCCCCGCCGTGATATTGCTGGAATATTGCTAAAAGCGGCGTAAAACCATACTCACTCACTCACTCACTCAACTTCACACCGTTATGGACCCACCCCAAAACGTTCACCACTGAAGCCTCTACATAAAATGACGTGCAGTAAGTTTCGGGACGACACGTGGTCGTTGTGCATGCAAATGCCATCTGTGCTAACGACTTCGTCTCGGCATGTAGTCTCACACTAGTTGCCTGTGCAGCCGGTCCCTTCTCTCAGTAGGAGTTTACACCCGATTACTTAATACCATCGTTCTGACTGATCTGCCCGGGGCTGGAGTTGCTTCCCTTGGGCATCCAGAGTGGCGTCAAATCATCGACGTTACGTGTTTGTTGGTATCGGCCTCCAATGTGCTGATGACAGATTGATACACATGCAGCGTTTGGGCAACAATCTTCTGACGTGTGCCCACCTGCAACATGCCTATAGCACGAAAACGTCCAGTATGTTGCAAACGTCGCATGATCCATGCTGTTGCTTTCTTAATGATGAAATGTGTTCAAAAAAGTGTCTATGGTAAGTGACATTGGTAAATCTGGCATATCACTCCTTGCACGTGCTGTCCGAGGGCACGTGCTTCATGACTGTCACAGTGTTGTGTTTGGGAGCTTGATATTTTCGGAAATGTTTTTGCCACATCAATCACTAACATTGCACATGTACTTTCATTGTCAGACGGGGCGATCAGGCAGCCTAGTGGTTAAAGCGTTCGCTCGTCACGCCGAAGACCCGGGTTCGATTTCCGACATGGGTACAATTTGTGAAGCCTATTTTGGTGTCCCCAGCCGTGATGTTGCTGGAATATTGCTAAAAGCGGCGTAAAACCATACTCACTCACTCACTCACTCACTCACTATCAGGCGCCAGAATATGGAGGCATCAGCCACTACGACTATTACAAAAGTTTTGCCGCAAGAGTGGCGGCATACGTCGACCCCCCTACTCCCATTAACTGGGGTCATCGAGACACGACTTGTGCACCCCCGCCAAGAAGGCTAAATCTTGCCATATCTTCGACAGCGTCACTCACATGACGGACACACGCCCCTACAGTTCCCAACAACATTGGCACCTCAGTCAAACTTTCCAAACGTCTTATGGTAGACATGTGGAGAACACTTCCAAATGTGATGCATCAGTGACACAACTTATGTCCGATGCAATTCCCTATGTTGACTTGTACCATATGTTGCCGTGTTTTTTCAGGTGGACAATTGACTTGCCTTTGTGTGTGTTTGTGACGGATGCCACCGATGGGGCAGGATACGCTCACCTTTTCGCGAACACTCTCATAAACACTTGCTCATGATATACTCAGAAACGTACATTCGACTGTTTTTGGCAGAGATATCTTCACTGATGCAGCAGCAAGTGTGGGATTTGATGGTTTTCGCAGCGTTAGTCAGAAGTCGAGAAACTGCCCAAGAAACCCTCGGTAAGATTCTTGGAGTTGCAATCTCTGTAGTAGCTATTCTTTAGGGGAGACCTTCTTCAACCAGAATTCTATGAAAGGCTTACAGACTCTACTTCGAGGATACAAACGAGTTTTGTCACCTTCTACCAAATCTCGACAACCAATCACAGTATCCTGAGTTAGCTCATTAAACTGCTGAGGTCAGGAGTATTTGGTGCTTTCTATGACCTTACATGAATTCTTCAGATTCTTAAGCTGTGGTGAAAATAATATTCACTTTTATAGCTGCTTTCGAACCGGAAATCAACCTGTGTGTGCAAGATATAAACCTTGATTTGCGCAGACAACGCTGCATCTTGAACCTCAAAGCTTCCATGACAGATCCCTTCCGCCGTGGCGTAACTTTCTCCTTGCCCAGTGCAGTGTCTGAGGAAATACCTTTGTGCAAGGAAAGTGTGTGGTTATCTCCCTTTGGATCCTCTGTTTGGTGCTGGTACCAAGTGTCCAGTCAAGTGTAGTTACGTCATGGCTAATTCCACTGATTACTGGGGGCACGGGTGGCCCAGTCGTCTACGGCGCCGCGATTCGCTGTGCAGAGTTGCGTCCCTTTGGCAGGCCAGAAACCTATGATTGTGGGTTCGAATCCCGGTTCGCCCTGATTATGTTTCTAGGTTTGTCAGCACCATACCCGTGCTCGTGGGTTTCACCAAAGTGGTAAACGTCTGAGACCTGCATCACTTCGGGCTTTCCTCCCACATTTAGCTGACACGCCGTGATATAACTGGAATAATGTTAAAAGCGGCGTTAAACCCAACTCAGTCAGTCAGTCCACTGATTACTAAGCTCGGTCTGTGTCCTGCCAATTTTTCCGGGCATTTGATCAGAATAGGTGCCGCTACCACAGCTGCCAAAGTTAGAGTCAAGATCATGGGCAGAGGGCAATCTGACGGCTCCACCAAGTACATATACATTCGTACTCCAGTGGTCGTGATCAAGGTCTCAGGTCTCTCCGTGTGTGTGTTGTAGGTAACACGTGTGTTCTTGAATAGATACTCCGTGACAAACTACTATATTACAGGCCTAATCCGGGTCAAGACGTCACCAGGACAGCATTTTCATCTAGGTCCGGGTCTACGACCCCAGGATATTTCAGCTACCATTGACTACCCCAGGACATAAACCTTCCGTCCGGGACAGGATGGCCCAAGGATCCAATCAATTGTGCAACCGAGTCAGTTCCAAATTTTAAATTTACATGCCAAATAAATGTAATAAAAATGTCTATTTTTATATTTCAAGCTTATGTTGTTGATGCAAACTAAATTTTACGCGTCAAATAGGAGATGTTCGTGATGCAAAGCCCTGCTCATTTCACAAACTAAATTTCACGCTCACTACCTGAGAATGTTCAAGGTGTATAGCAGTTGTAACAATCACAACCAACGACAATGTGGCCTGTGTGGAAAGATACACGTGAATTCTGTAATTCATTAACAATTAGGTTGATACATCAAAACGGTTGACTCAAACCGGCTGGGACTGCCAGTTTGTCCGAGTTTGGTCCCCCTTTAAATAATTTTACCGTTGTCTGGGAAACAACTGTTAGCTGAAGTAAGACGAGTTCTATGGATGAACAACTTCTTTATTACAATTGGTGCGACGTTTCGGTGTAGATCCTAACACCTTTATCAAGCAAGTGATGGATAGGGCTAAACAACATAGGTATATATACACTTATTGACATCTAAGTTGTTACAGTGACTAGTTGATGGACACAGAGAGGTGATTAAGCTAATTGGAAGCCAGTGGATGACTAATGAACACAGAGTATACTAGCAGAGTAAACAAGCAGACTGATGGAGATGATGGAAGCCACTGTATTAATTGGATGGACAAAGGGAATTAGCAATTAGGTGATGGTAAGCAGGCGGGATGTCAATAAGTGTATATATACCTATGTTGTTTAGCCATATCCATCCATAGCCATATTCAATGGGAAGTGCACGACGTCCCGCTAGGTAGTGACCACTTCCCCATAAACATAACCATAGGAAATACAAACGTACCAATCCAAACAGAAAACCAAGAACCAAAATTCCATTACAATAAAGCTAACTGGGACCAATTCCAAGATATCTGCAACGAAGCTAACTTAAACGAAATAGAAAATAATGATCCAGAAACCTATTGTAAAAACCTAACAGACTATATAATAAACGCAGCCAAAACCTCCATCCCCTTCAAAACATCTAAGACAGGCAAACCGACGGTACCATGGTGGAATGAGGAAATAGAACAGACTAGACGAAAACGTAAATCAGCCTTCAATAAAGCAAAACGCGACTACAAATATTTAAACATAGCCCACGAACTAAACCACCAGGTTCAAAAACTAGTCCAAATAGCCAAAAGTAGAGACTGGAAAAAATTCTGCGAAGGTATAAATAACCGTACAGATGCCAGAATGGTCTGGCGCAAAATCCACGCCATCAGAGGCTTAAAACGACATAAAAAAAAACCTAACATTGACAACTCAACCAACCCCGCCCAAAAAGCAAATAATCTCGCCAACCACTTTTCGGCCGTTAGCAGTAACACCAACTTCAGTAAAAAATTCCAAGATAAACTTAAAACAGAAAACAAACCCACAAAAGAACCAAACAATAACAATCTAGAAATAAACCAACCTTACACAATGGAGGAGCTCCTCTACGTAATCCAAAACAGGAAAAAGGGCACAGCCCCAGGATTAGACCTAACTTCTTACCAAATAATTAAAAAACTCCCCCTAAAACTACTCCAGGCACTACTCAAACTATACAATCTCATCTACCTAAACGGACAGGTTCCTACTCCCTGGAAACAGGCCCTAGTCATACCAATCCCTAAACCTAATAAACCAGCTAATCAAGCTAACTCATATAGGCCAATATCCCTAACTTCAAACTTATGTAAAGTAATGGAATCAATGGCTAAAAATAGATTACAACATTACTTAACCCAAAATAACATCATAAACCCAGATCAAAGCGGTTTCACTCCTGGCCGCTCAACCCTAGATAACCTCGCCCGACTAGAACAAGATATTAAGACAGGACAACTAAATAAACAATATACCACAAGCATCTTCTTAGACTTCTCTAAAGCTTTCGACATGGTATGGCACGATGGGCTAATACAAAAACTTAAAAAAATAGGACTCAAAGGTCAGATAATAAACTACATCCAGGACTTCCTAAACAATCGTAAAATAACCGTGGGTATAGACCAAACTCTATCGGACCAATGTCCCCTAGAAAATGGTATTCCACAGGGCAGTATCCTCAGCCCCACCCTCTTCAATATAATGATAAACGATCTATTCGAGGGCCTATCCCCTAAAGTAAACACATCAAAATTCGCGGATGATGAAGCCATCTGGATCCGCACTAAAAGCATGAACATGGTCCAAAATCTACTCCAAAAATCTCTTAATAAAATACAACAATGGGCTGACAAATGGGGCTTCTCCCTTAACTAAGAAAAAACAACAGGAATAGTATTCAAACATAAAAACATGAAACCCGCCTCCCCAATCCTCCAGCTAAACAATCAAACAATCAAATTTCAAAAACAAACCAAATTCTTAGGACTTATTTTCGATGAACATCTCACCTGGGATGCTCACATCCAAAACCTAACAACTAAATGCAGTAAAGACCTAAACACCCTAAGATGCCTAACTGGCTCTAACTGGGGAGCATCCAAAGATACCCTCCTCTCTCTCTACATATCACTAATTAGATCAAAACTAGACTACGGCTGCGCCATATACAACACCCTAAACAACTCTCTATCTAAAAAACTTGACTCAATACAATATCAGACTCTCAAACTAATTACACGCACCCAACATGGCACCTCCTACACCTCACTTCAGGCCTTAACAGGAGAAATGCCACTAAGTCTACGCAGGGAACAGCTAAGCTTAAATTTCTGGGCCGCGTCCCAATCAAACCCTCTCATCCAAAACTTAATAAACCAAAACATCAGCCCCAAAAACCAAGCTCTAGCTCGCAAACACCCCTTACTTACCCCAATATCCCAAAGAATAACAAACTACCTAAATGAACACCAAATTAAAAATCTTAAACAAAACTGCAAACAATCAAATATCTTCACCCCTAAACTTAAAATACCCAAAATAGACACAACACTAGCTAGCCAAATAAATAAACAAACCGACCCAAACATAGCTAAAACTACCACACTAGCATACATACACGAAAATTGGCCAAATTGGTATCACATTTACACGGACGGATCCTCAGATCCGACCTCCAAACACACAGGTTTCGGAGTCCATACCACACAACCAACTAAAACCACACGATCCTTCCGACTCCCAAACAACCAATCAATATTCACGGCAGAACTAATGGGCATGGCCTCAGCCCTCCATAATCAAGAATCCAAAAAACACAAAAATATCCTAATACTTACCGACTCCCTAAGTGGACTGCAAGCCCTCCAAAACAAAAATACCAAAAACCGACCTAAATTAATAAATCAAATACTTAAAAGCTCCAACGACCTAACTAAGGCAGGCAAACAAATAACCTTCTTGTGGATACCCGCCCACGTAGGAATATACGGTAACGAAAACGCCGATAAAGCAGCTCAACTATCCCTCAAAATCCCAGAAATAAGCTTAAACTTAACCATCTCAAAATCAGAAATTAAAAGTGTTAACAAGCAAACACTCACAAAAAAATGGCATAACCTATATCTAAACTCAAATAGCCAAATCAAAAAAGTGCTCAGCAAACCACTAACCAAACCCAAAACTCTCCATCCATCGAAAAAAATCGACAGAGTAATCACTAAACTCCAAACAGGACACACCAACCTAAATAACCACCTAAAAAAATTTAAAAAACACACTACAGGTAACTGCCCACACTGCAAACAACCAGAAACCCCAGAACACGCACTCATCCACTGCACACACTACCTAACACATCGAACCGCATTACAAACCACCCTCAATCTAAACAAGGCTCTAACTCTAGAAGCAATACTAAACCCACAAAATAAACTAGAAAACTTCAAGGCCTTAGGCGTATTCTTAATAAAAACGGAACTAATAAAACGCATCTAAAAACACAATAACCTACCAAATCAAAATCACATAAACAAACAAACATCCACCATACCCAGCTCCCTTAGTTCTCCTCCCCAATCCCATCGGCATCTATTCCAAATCTCAAAATTTCCAAATTCTATATAAGCAACCCCTAAAACCCCCCTCTTGGGTTGCACAGACCACCTTCGCCCCTTTCGGAAACACAGTAAATGGCCTGGCCGGGCCCGTGTGCGAAATACGCATCAGTCGGAAAGCGCACGTTAAATCTCCAAAGTAAGTAAGTAAGTAAGCCATATCCATCACTTGCTTGATAAAGGTGTTAGGATCTACACCGAAACGTCGCACTAATTGTAAGAAAGAAGTAGTTCATCCATAGAGCTCGTCTTACTTCATCACTCCAACTTCTAAATGCCACTCAAAGAAACTGTTAGCTGGACATGTGAACATGTATTTTATTATGTGTACTGAGTTACCTTTACCATGAATAGGGACACAAACTATATGTTCTTATTCTACTTGTTTTACCTTTTAGTTTACGTCTGATATCCTCACAGAGTACGTTGTAATAAAGGACAAGGAAGTATTTTCTAATTTAAGATGGAACTAAACCTACAAGCTTTAAAAGAATATAGTGTTTCTAGTGCTGAGATGTCGCAGTCGAGTCGCTAAGTGAGGTGAGGTGAAATTGGGTTTAACGTGGCGTCCAAAGTTTTTGCACTTATATAGCGACGTGCATGCACGCGTGTGCGTGTGTGCGTGTGTGTGTGTGTGTGGCTGCTTTTACTTGTCCGGACTGATGCCGATTTATAGTGCTAGCACACTGAGATCATTCCGCAGTTTAACATGAATACCCAACTCAGACACAGTATACTGACTCCGAGCCGACCAGTCCTTGTCTTAGCCCCGTAATGCCAAGCGGAGCCGGTCTCGTGTCGCTAAGTGAGTGAGTGAGTTTGATTATACCCCGCTTTTAGCTATATTCCAGCAATATCACGGCGGGGGACGACAGAAATGGGCTTCACACATTGTACCCATGTCGGGAATCGAACCCAGGTCTTCGGCATGACGAGCGAACGCTTTAACCACTAGGCTACCCGACCGCCCCAGAGTCACTAAGACTGATATGTTAAAGAAGGCTTGTATATTTCATGATGTAAGCGAATAGGTCACGGTAAAGAACACTTACCTCCAATCCAAATGAAAATGATCGCTACTCCCACAGGGTAAGCATGCTTCAAGTTCATTTTCAACTGTCAGTACTTTTCCCGGTTGAGCACTATATTTATACAGAGACACGTCCAATCAGATGAGTTCGGTATTTCGTTACATGTCACGATGCTAGACTGTTCCGTTTCTGTTTGCAGCCATGTAATGATGGTACACGATATGAGGAAATAGCTGGTGAAATTATCAAACGCATGATTAATAAATCAACTTGATGAGGAAAACTTCAGAAACACGAATCAAAAGGAGTTAAATCTAAATATCATCATATGCTTTCCTCACGTTACACGTTCCCTAATATCAATAACTGGTTTGATTTTTTCTATACTTTCGCCATGAGCTAGCATTGTACACAGTTTTGGGTGACGTGACGATATAAGGTTGAAATATTGCCAATACGATGTAAACTTTTAACCCGCTTTTAATATATATTCAGCGTCCATATGCGTTTGACATCAATATCAATCACGGTCCTTTTCTCGCCTGTTCGCCGCCATCCCTTCAGAACAACATATAGATTTGACTGAAGCATGAGAGTTGTGTATTTATGGAGCAATCTGTTTCTCTGTAGAAGTACATCCTTTATGATTAATTATTGACCCGTGAAGATCCGGGGTAGAATTGGTCTTCAGCAAACCATACCTGCCGTAAAAGGCGACTCTGCTTGTCATAAGCTGCGACTAACGGTATCGGGTGGTCAAGCTCACTGACTTGGTTCATGCATGCCAACGTATCCCAATTGCGTGCATCGATGCTCATGATGTCAATCACTGACTCGATTATTTACAGACCGCCGTCATATAGCTGGAATGTTGCTCAGTGCGGCGTTAAACATCAAACAAGCAACAAGCAAGGGATTAATTAGGTTTTAATGTCATTCCAAGTGGACATAGTTACCTTTGATGATCAGAACTGATGCAAACTGATGATCACTGTATGTTATTTACGGCTGATACAAGTCACAAAAAATAACTTACGCACGCAATTATGTACATATATCATTTCATGCCACCTTATTAGAATGAACGTTTCATTCACACGTATTAATTCATTATAATATATGTACTACAGTTGTGCTATATTTACCAAAATACAAACTGTTTTGATACTAATTTAACTACACATGAATATGCCACATGTATTAGTACTGTTCATCATCCGTGAGTGGGTACCCGGTAGGATGAGATGGTAACGTGACTGTCAGGCAGCCACATCAGGCAGCTTGGGTTGAATACTCCGCAGGGCTTAGAATGAGGGGTAATAATGTAACACTTTGAGCATGCTATATTGTGGGTTTGGCGCATTATATATGTACCCATACTGTTGTGTAGAGCAGAGATGTGAGGCGTGCATGAAATGGGGGTTTAACGTCGCCTCCAAGATTATTGCACTTATATAGCGACGTGCATGCAAATGTGTGTGTGTGTATGTGTGTGTGGGTGTGTGTGGCTCCTTGTACCAGTCCGAACTGATGCCGATTTATAGTGCTAGCCCACTGAGACACCATGCCGCAGTTTAACACGAATACCCCGCTCAGACACAGTATACTGACTCCGAGCCGACCAGTCCTTGTCTTAGCCCCGTAATGCCAAGCGGAGCCGGTCTCGTGTCGCTAAGTGAGTGAGTGAGTTTGATTTTACGCCGCTTTTATCAATATTCCAGCAATATCACCAGAAATGGGCTTCACACATTGTACCCATATCGGGAATCGAACCCGGATATTCGGCGTGACGAGCGAACGCCTTAACCACTAGGCTACTTGTACTAGTCCGAACTGATGCCTATTTTTAGTGCTAGCTCACTGAGACACCATGCCGAAGTTTAACATGAATACCCCACTCAGACACAGTATACTGACTCCGAGCCGACCATTCCTTGTTTTAGCCCCTAAATGCCGAGCGCCAGACAGGGTAACAACAAGTACCGTATTTTCTTGAGTATAGTGCGCACCCATGTATAATGCGCATCCCCCTCCAGCGGATTCAATATTTTGGAGAAAAAAAAAATCGAATACCAAGCGCAGAAAAAAAATTACACCGTACCCCTTTAGCGAAGTCCAGCAAACGAATGGGTGATGAGAAACTTGGTCAGTACAAATTCGAAATTTGAGATAACAAATCACCAGACATGTTGATTTACCGTTAAATTGTATTTTTTGTTCTGCTAGGCATTGTTTTATATCCAGGGATTAAGATTACCTTATGTATTTTCTCGTAAACTAAGCCGGACACAGCAATCAGCTGTACACACGTTTTCTTGGAATCTACCGGTGATTCGGTCAAGACACACCCAATGATATAACTTTACAGGATTTTAATGCATGGATCGGCAAAAATTGTATCTGAAACTATTTTTTTTCTACACAGCTGTGTTTTTTTTAAAAAAAGTGCGCACTATACTCAAGAAAATACAGTACCATCTTTTAACGTCTCTTGGTATGAAGCGGCTGGGGATCGAACCCCGGACCTTCCGCTCTCCGGGCGGACGCTCTACCACTAGATCATGGAGGCGGTCGACTGAATCTGGGCCAGGCAGACTTGTGGTTAATATCATTAGCAGTGATCCATGTGAATGGGTTAAGTGGCATTAACATTAGATTGCTTGGGAGGTTCCTGTTAGTGGTTAAGAGAAGGAACTTCTATGTTTATTTAACGTCTTTTGGTATGACGCGGCCGGTGATCGAACCCCGGACCTTCCGCTCTCCGGGCGGACGCTCTACAACTAGACCACGGAGGCGGTAGAGCAGAGAAGGATAATGACAACGTTGGTGTATATACATCTTTGAAATGTCTCAGGGACATCAACTGATTAGCTCATGGTGAGGATCCATTTGTCTGTTAAAGTCAAACAAGCTTTATTTCTTAATACCGGGGGGCACGGATGGCCCAGTCGTCTAAGACGCTGCGATTCCCTGTGCAGAGTTGCGTCCCTTGGGCACGCCAGAAACCTATGATTGTGTTTATGTTTCTAGGTTTGTCAGCATCATACCCGTGCTCGTGGGTGTCGCTGAAGTGATAAACGTCTGAGACCTGCATCACTTCGGGCTTTCCTCCCACATTAAGCTGACGGGCGGTGATATAACTGGAATAATGTTAAAAGCGGCGTTAAACCCAACTCACTCACTCACTCACTCTTCATTCAGAGAAGGCCATAGATCTTAGTACACGAAAACAGAGTAGGTCAGAGTACAATTATACAATAAAATATTCATCAATAACCACGACAAATGTTAAATTAATCAAGTCGTTGAGTACGTACATGCTCTGTAAGATTCATAGCATGGAAAATAGACATTGACAATTGGTTAAATGTGAAAGTATATTTATTTAGTTTTCATTGAAAAGTAAAATTTTAAAAGTGAGTGTGCTTGTAATAACAACTATAAATGAATTTTCTTACATCAACGTCATATGGCCGAACAATTAAAAAGTGGTTCAAGTTAGTATCTTGAAATTTCAAGATCGTTATCTTCAAATTTTTACTTCTGTTGAAAAAACAAAAGGCATTATCAACCGGATGACTAACTACATTAACCGGATCAACTATATCTTCCTCTGTGTGTGATACAGTGATGACACAATCCAGGAGGAACACTGGATAGTCTCTCTCTCTCTCTCTCTCTCTCTCTCTCTCTCTCTCTCTCTCTCTCTCTCTCTCTCTCTGTATGTGTGTATATATCGGCGTGTCTCTCAATGTGTAAGTGTGTGAATGTGTGTGTGTGTGTGTGTGTGTGTGTGTGTGTGTGTGTGTGTGTGTGTGTGTGTGTGTGTGTGTGTGTGTGTGTGTGTGTGTGTGTGTGTGTGTGTGTGTGCAACACCCGGGTTTTTAGAGAATACCTGTCAAACGTTGATAAACACACACACACACACACACACACACACACACACACACACACACACACACACACACACACACACACACACACACACACACACACACTTCCATACATGTCAGAACGACTAACAAAAGTCCATTTAAAAAATTGTTTTTCACTCAACTGGTTTTCATGTCAGCGAGATGCCATTCATTTTGTTCCGTTGAAGTAGTCTTGACGGAGTAACTTCCCCTATACCGTTACATCCTTTCACACTGACCTACTACTTTTGGAAACTGAATCTTTCGAAATATTGCATTGAATAATTATTCTGAAACAGATCTGCATACGTATGAGACATCGTCCTGATCAGGGGCGGGTCAAGGATTTTGAACAAAAAGGCGGGGGACCCATTTGGCCATTTCTTTATAGGTTTACTTTAACAACAAAAACAACATGTTATCGTGGTAGGGAATGGGCATAATGTTGTTTGTTTGTTGTTTAACGCCGCACTCAACAATATTCCAGCTATATGACAACGGTCTGTAAATAATCGAGTCTGGACAAGACAATTCAGTGATTGACATCGTGAGCATCGATCCTCGCAATTGGGATACGATGACATGCATCAACCAAGTCAGCGAGCCTGACCACCCAATCCCGTTAGTCGCCTCTTACGACAAGCGTGGGTTGCTGAAGACCTATTCTACCCCGGATCTTCAAAATGTCAGGGGTGGGGGGCACCGATGCTGATCCTCATAACATCATCACTGTCATCTGGAAATAGGGACAGCGAAGGTTAATGTCCCATACCTACGGTAGCCCATAAGGGACATGGAGTCTCTTTTTCAATATTTTGATGTTTCACTTACTTTTATCGTAACCTTTTGCAAATTAACACAATTTGTCATACAAATATGTTATAAATCATGTATAAAAAGAACCGAAAACATGAAAAATGTACTTTAAAGTAGCTGTTGGGTCGCTGAAATGTGAAGCGAAAATGTCAAAAACTAAAATGGAAATGTCAAAAACCAAAACGAAAATGTCAAAAACAAAAGCGAAAATGTCAAAAACTGAAATGAAACCACAGAAAACTATTTCTACTATTTCAACTATATCTTCCTCTGTGTGTGATGCAGTGATGACACAACCCAGGGGGAACACTGGATAGTCTCTCTCTCTCTCTCTCTCTCTCTCTCTCTCTCTCTCTCTCTCTCTCTCTCTCT